TGAAGCCTCCCGTGTGCTGGTTACGTGCAGCCGGCGTGGGAGGCGGCCGGCGAGGAGGACCTGGCAGCTGGAAAGTCTGCTGTGACTGAGCTCTGTAAAAGGCTGAACTTTCACTTTGACTTTAAAGTAAATAATTTGCTGCTGGGTTAGGTTGGTGGAATTCACCAGCGTGAGTGTGTTTCGACTTAATTTCTGGCGTTTGTTTGAACCCAAGTGGAAAGTGACCGTTTGACTATGGCAGCGGTGGACATTGGGCTTTGACTTGCCGGCTTTCTCCTAAGCAGCCTGGTTTCTTTGCCCACAAGCACATAAGCTGATTTATCTGCCTTCCCTTGTGCCTCTTAATCCGCTGTCATTTAAAATCTGCAGTTCTTTCCTCACCAGATTTAGCCTTCTGTCAGCAAACTGGCAGGCAGCACCGCTTTGCTGGAGCTGGTGGAGCTGCCGGGGGACAAGGCGGCTCCTGGCCGGCCATGGCCTCCCTGGCCCGGGGGGCTCGAGGGGTGCCGAAAAAACCCTCCGGCCGCACCTGGCGGCGGGGCTGCTTGGAGCAGGCGCGTAACATGAGCTTTCTCGTGTTGTGTGTGTGGTCGGACCCCAGACGCGTGCCGTCCGGGGGGAGACGAGCCTGAGAGCTGAGGAGGGCTGTGACTCAACAGCTGGAGCGCGTTCAAGCACAACAGAGCGGGAGCCTCATTAATAGGGGGATGGAGTTAGCAATGAAACAAGTGACGTATTAAAACTTCCAGTCAGAAATCAAGAAACTCAAATCCATAGTAAAGTAATTTTGAAGGGATTTTTTTTTTTCCAGTTCTGTGCAGCAGCACAGCATCCAGACAGATGAAATACGAGGGGATGGAAAGTCAGCGGTTCCTTTGAGACAGAAACACTTTGATACAACAGTATTATTAATGTCTCACACAAAGTACGGCTGGAAAATACAACAGTCATTATAAAAACGTCAGCCTCTTTTTAAAAGTTAACGGAGGACTTTCAAAGGGAACAGTGCATTAAACATGAGGATAGTTAAACAGACCGTAATATGCATTAGGCATGAAGTTATTGCTGTTAAAGTGTTGAAGTTGAGGACTGGAAATGGAAGGTAGAGGCTGCCCTGAACCCCTCAGCACTTGAGGAGATGAGCTAAACCTTGAGCCCGCCTCCCCACCCTGCCCCAGCCAATGGGGCTGAACCCTACCTTGCCCCAGCCAATTGTGACAGAGCTCTTCCTGTATTCAGAGTGGGCGGGGCTGGCCTCACCTGAGGTTGTCTTCACATCCTCGGTTCCAGAAGCTTCTGCCTTGGCCACCTCCATCTTCCAGCTGCCCAGGCAAGCCCAGGGTCCCTGTCCTGAGCTGTGTCCACCTCCCCCAAGCTAAGGGGAGTCCCCAAGGAGACCTTTAGGGCAGAAATCGCTTTTTCTTTTTTTTTTTTTTCCCCCCCTTCCAGTTGAAATCACTCCATCGAGTTTATTACCCTGTCTTTTCCCATTCATCTTACAAATATTCGGACACTGTATAGAAGTAAGTACGGGGTACCATCCTCCTGTCCACCAGAAAGGAGAAAGAAAAGTTGAGAAAGCCGGTGCTGAGACTCCAGTTAAACACTGCCGGTTATTCATCAATAAGAGGCGAGGGTAATACGATAGAACAATTTCCAGCGGGCAGACTACCAAGCTCAGGAACAGCCTCAATGCTGCATTAAGGGGTTTGGTTACTGTAGACAGGCAGGAAGGAGCAGAGGGACAGGAGAAGTGGTTTGAGCACTGCCATGGCTCTGTTTTCTACTTCTCTCTGTATGTTATCAAATTATTTGATCTGTAAAGGCATGCTGTGCTGTTTAAACTTTTTAACTGGACAGACATAGGACATGTTAGATATTTAAATCAGGATATAGTGTAAAGAAAGTGACTTTCTCAAAGCAGACCAGTGCTATGGTGACCAGTCTAGGAAGTCCTGCTCAGCTGTGCTTTTTGCAGGAGAGTTTCAGTCTGTAAAAGGTTAGGTAACTTACACCTTTGAGCTAGGACACCTTCCTATTTCAGTGTAACTTCTCTTTTATACCACTTCATCCAGATTCATTAAAATGCAAATTCTGTTTATAACACTTGAATGATATATCTGCTGGAAAATCATAAAGCCCATCGTGCCGAATAATGTCTGTTGGCATTCACAGTAGCTCCACTGCTTGATTCATGAATATGGGGAGAGGGACGAGGACCTGCAGTCTGATGGAGATGCTGTACTGGAGTCACTGAGTCACCCTCTGCTCTGTTTAGTCAAGTTGCTTCACTTTGTGCCTGCTTCCCATCTGCAGAGTAAGGTTAAGACCTAACTGTTTAAGGATGAGAAAGATACGTTTGTAATGCGTTTGGAACAAGAAAAGCGCTATTTTAAGTGCTAAGTGTAATTGAGTGTAAGAGAATATTGGTTTGTGACTCATTTGTTTAACTGCAAATGCATCAGAAACTTATAAGCAGATGAGGTCTGGAAAAATGTTGTAGATGGAAAGACATGGTAGTAAAAAGCTGCATTAATTTGTGATCTTCAAAGCAGGACTTAGCAGGGCTGTTCAAACAATAACGTTTATTATTTTTGCAAATGTCAGCTGGTTTGCTTCGTTAGTACTATTTTAAGAAGTTCCTATTCTGCTCCAGCCACTTGCTCCTGTCCTCGCTCTGTAGGTCTGTGTCCCCTCGGAGCGTGGTGTGCAAATGATTCAGTGTTTGATGTGACAGAAGGGTAAAGAGAGCAAAGAGCAGTGGTTAGGCTGGTGGTGGTGGTGAAGGGAATCTGTTGTCAGCAGAAAAGAAACTCAAGACACCTCCTTTTGCGGGTTCCTGACCAAAGGAATGGTTCAGCTGTTCATGTGCTTGCCCCGTGAAAGTGGGTAGAGGTGTCCGGTGGGGAGGAGAAAAGGAAATTGTAGTCTTCTGAAATCTTTCTCCCTTCCAAATTTCTTGTCCCTACAAGGCAAAATTATCACCAGAAGCAACCAAGGGTTTTGTAGGTATTGAACATTTCCTTACTCAGACTAGCAGTTTGGATCTTACTGCAGCCCATGGAGGAGCCAGATGCAATTTGCTGCTGCTACCATTATTTCCCTGTAGATTAATTGTTGTAATTGTTTGCCAGTTCTTGAAAAATAAATTCAGAGCTATGACTTCTCTTGGCAAGTGTGCATACGCATGCATGTATAGAATTCTCATATGGTGTATGAAATAAATAGGAATTATTTTTTGGGGGGGAGTGCAAGAACATTATCACAGCAGTCAGGAGCTGTTTTCAGTGGTGACCTTCAGCACCCTGTGGAGCCGGAGAGGTTTTAAAGGTTTGGAGATCCTCTTGTGGATGTAAAGCAATGACGTAAATTGTTGCTAAGTTAGGGTGCCAGCTGCTGTAAGTGATTCTTCAGAGGCCAACTGATATGTCTGGATTTATCTGCAGTGACCAAGGTTTTTAGTGCCTCCCTCCTCAGTGCATTAAACAGGACTTTATGATACAAAGAAAACTTTGAAAAACATTTACTCCTGTAAAAGGAGAACAGGTCTGCAGCCAGACTAGATAGAATCGGTGCTGATGCAGCTTCCATTAATAGGATGCCTGCAAAATTTTGATCTAGAGGACATAACTAACCCGAGTTTTGGCTCTGGTGAAGGTGTTAATAGCAGGGTCTTAACACGCTACCAGGAAACCAAGTTTAAAGGGAGACAGCCCTTACGGGGAGGCAAGCACAGGTTCCTTCCCTGAGTTGTGGTTAGGTAATTTCTGAGTATGAGGAGCAGTGTTTGCGCTGCAGTGTGGTATTTAGCTTCTGGGTGCTAGATTTGACTCAGCAGCCTTTTCGGTTTGCAGTCTGCATGCTAACAAGGTGGTGCAGTGCTGCATGCATGGGACTGTGTCGTTTTGACTCATTACAGCCAGTGCAGTCAATTCCCAAATAATCTAAAAGAAAAATGAAACCTACAGCAAAACTGCTTACTTTTCTTGATAATGTAGTTAAAGACAAGTTTGGTATCTTCTGCTGAATTATCTGGGTCACTAGAGAGCAATTCAGACCTTCATTTATTAAAGTGCTCTTTGCTCAAAATACATTCTAAATTGCTCTCTACAAGGCGGCTTAGTTTTATTTAGCTTCGTGGCTAAACAGATAAAAATATATTTCAACAGTAAGTCTGCATATGGCATGATTGCAAACCTTTGAGACTTCTGCTTTTAGATATTCAAAAAACCATGAAAATACGATTTTTAAAAGGGTTGAGCAGTTCTGTAATTAAACATCTTCAATGATGCCCCGGTATTGAAGCGGTTCCCCTGCTGTCTGATTTGTCTGGTACATTTGAAGCGAGACCCATTGCGAATGACAAGGGCTGACATTTTTGTTCAGATTATCCATGGATCCACATTCAAAGGTGATGCTACCAAGTGGGTAGAGGTAGGGATCAGCAGCCTGGGAAGGGCATTACATCGGACTGTGTTTTCCTTTCCTGAAGCAGCCACCAGTCCTGGGTACGGGGCAGAACCCTGCCTGTACACCCGTGGTGGCTACTGACCTCCAGCCAAGATACGGGCAGGAGCTCTGCTCTGCCAGAGGTCTGCGAACAAGTCACTTCATCCCCTTGACTTAGTTGCTCATCTGCAAAAGAGGGATGATGATTACCTCCTTTGTAAAGTACTTTGGGATCTGCTGGATATAAGTGCTTTTAAGAGAGGTGTTTTTCCTTTTCTCTCCAAGGCACAGAGCAGTAGCAATCCCACTGTTCCTGCCTTTGCGCTGCAGCGTTGCTGCCTCCGAGGGGAAGCAGGAAATGATGGTGATATTGCGGTTGGAAACATAATAGAGAGCCACAATTTTATTTTTTTTTATCCTGTTCCACTCAAAAAATTTACATGGTTGCTATGTTTTTCATAGGCTGGTCCTTCCAGATAATGCTGTAACACAACTTCCCTGGTTTCAACAAATTTACCCTAATCCAGTAACGCATTTTTGTGTCTTTCTAGATTCTGAGCGTTCCCATCTCTCCTCGTTCACTATGAAGTTGAAGGGCAAGTTTCATTCACCAAAAATAAAGAGAACCCCTTCAAAGAAAGGAAAGCAAGGTGACCTGACAGTGAAAACACCAGAGAAGTCAGCGAACAAAGTAAGCAGACGAAGGACATGTTCTGTTAGTCTTGCTGGTTTCTTGCTTGCTGGTACTCAGTTTATCAAAATCCGCAGCCCTACTTTCAGTGCGTGACTTTGTCCTCTGCAGAATTCTGCAGATTTTTCAGGGATTCTCAGGGTTACTTTATGGTTAGTTATAAATCATATAAGCTATGCGCTGTGTAGTATAAAAGAAGAGCAACCAAGGCATGTGCTTCCCTTTGGAGAGCCTGATGAGACCTCCTTCCATAAGCATTTAAATATCTCATTATGGAATGTAGTTTATGGCCTGACACATCCTCCCCACATGCACACCCTATGGTTATGCTTACAGCTTCCAAATAACTGGTTTTGGGGTGTGATCCTTTTAAAAACCCCAAAACCCAGGCGAGCAAATCCTTGAAGCTGGTCCAAAGATGTGCTCAATCTCTGACGACATTGGCAGGGAGAGTCGAACACATGCATTCAAGCAGCTGCTGATTCCAGCACACCGTTCCTCAGACCCAACATACTTCAAGTCCTCTAAGAGCTGAGGTCACCACTCTTTCCCAGCACAAACCTATCAGAGTGTTATCTCCTCTGCTGTTGTGACCTGATTACGTAGACTGGAGACTATCTCTGTAACAGTACTGTTGCAGTCAGTTTTCGTGTATAAATTTAAGCCAAAAGTTAAGAACAGTCAAGGTTATTTATGATAATTCAAAATCTTTCCTAGTTGTTGTTGAAAGTCTCATCCAATGTGCAGCGCCAGGCATGCAAACTTTTTTAGATTATCTCTGCTGAGGATTGTTGTAGTGTTATTGAGAGCAGTCAGCAAGATGATACAGTTATCTTATGCTGTGTGATGTGCTTAACACCCAGAGAAGTCGCTTGCAGAGCTTCCTAGCCCTATTCTGCACCATGAGGTGGAAGATGAGGCTTTTATTTCCCAGGCTGTAGGGTTTTTTCCCCCAGGAGGCTATGGATATGCTTTCTAGGGAGCTGAGCACCTTGTATTGCTGACTGCTACTAAAAAATAAAAATAAAAAAATATCTGGGAGTACTCCTTGGAGGCTTTTAATTCCAATGTTTCAGGATGGTACATTGAGATAACTTAGAGGCCTTCCTTTAAAGTGATATGTGACCACATATTAAATAAATTAGAAAATGAAGAGCCCTTTTCAAAATGCTATTCTACAGCAAATATATATTAGCATGTTAATAATAGGTGAAGTTTTTGCTTTTCTTTCTTTTCTTTGAAAAACAATGCAAGAGGCTTTACTGATCAGGCATGCTGAACATGTAAAACCTTTTTTTTATGTACAGATTGGGATGTTTTTATTGGGAAACAAAACACTTGCAATATTTTTTATTATCGTACATGATTATTTAAGCTGTATACATTTTTATACTGTGAAATCTTGTTGATTTCTGGCTCATTCCTTATCTATTTTAATAGCTACTGTCCAACTAATCAATTATTTGGATGTAGTCAGCTCGTTACCTTTGTGGGGAAGGAGTGGAGAAGAGGATATGCCTGGATTGTCACCAGGTTCTCTCACTGGAATACAGACATCAGTTGACAAACAGGAGATTTTCTGTCAGAAGACACACTTGATAAACCAAATATCATCTTTTCCTCCCTCTTAAGTACCACAGATGCTATTTTTACACTCTTGAAGTAGATAATCACTGTAGAACAGAAATAGCAATACCAAAAATTAATGTAAAATCACTACGTGTAACCTGAAGGTTATGCTCAACCCATGCAGACATCTTCTTCTCCTCTTCCTCTTTATACCTACATGTGGGCAACATAGGGGGAGTTTTTTTCAGAGCTTCCTTTTGTCCCCTGGACCCTGCCTTTGATTCTTTTTGTAGGGCATGTTGTAGGAACAGTAGTGTCCTTCAACACTATATGCAAAGTTATAATAGGTTTTTCACTGCCAAAATGCAGGGAAAAAAGGGACTGTTCCAGCTTTTGTAATCAGGTGTATTCTGAGCAGCTCGCTGTAACCCTTTCTGGGTCAGCTGTATCTCATACGTGATGCATTTGTAATGATTATTTAAGGGAAGACTTCAGAAATCGTGCAAAAATATCAATGTGTGTCAGGCAGGCAGGGGAGTGGAGAGGAGACGCTGTTTTGCCTGAATGTTAAGTTTATCTCATTTGATGCCCAAAAGGGAAATGGGTGAATCAAGTGGTCCTGCCACTCTGGCAGCTCCCACAGTTACCGATCTGCTCTCTCGCTGGGGTAAGGTAACTGCTGGGGCAGGTTCACCTCTATTGAGAAATGAAATGAGAGAGTAGTTCAGGTCCTTTCTGCCAACCCAGAGGGGTACCACTGCATGTTTACTTTGGCTTTAGGAACACACTCAAATGTTTGGTGGAAGAGCTTAATAACGTTAGTCTTGTGAGATGCAGACACTGGAATGTATTAATATCCATCCATCCCACCAGGATATTACTCCTTTCTCTAGATTTATTGCTGTTGTTCTCAGGCCTCAGTGAGTAAAGCACTGAACACCAGAAACTTCAGCCTTGTAGCAACAACTGACACTTACGTACCTGAGCTCTGTAGCAGAACCCGCAATCCTGTGTAGGATGTATAGGCTTTCTTTGAGTGTGTTTATGTGCATGTGTATACACGCGTGTATTGATACCTTTGGACCTCAGAAATGGATTCATAAAGAGTGCTCTTACGGGATTGTTACTCAGAGCTAACAGGGAAGTTGCAAAAATAGTGTCCAGTGGCAGGATTTGCATGCCTTGCTGTGCTCAGCAGAAGGATTTGTGTTTCCACTTGTCATTCTCAACCCTGAACTCTGAGTTGAGCCCATCCCTCCTCTGCACCAGGAGAGTGTTTAAGCTATTAAGTCGCAAGCCTTTCTACAGGAAACAGTTGTTGAATGAAATACATAAACAGCCTTCGGAGCAGGAACTGCAATCCACATTTTTTCACTTCTGTTTGAGAGCTCTGACCGCTGGACCATAGTCATACTTGCTCGGGGATTATACGGGCTCTCTCATCCCTAAAATGTGTGATCATTTCATATGAAGTGCAAAACCTTCATGGGAGGGACTGAGCCTCTCCATATGCTGGAATAAACTGTGTAGTGGTGAGGGTACATGCCTGAAAAAATGGGAAATGTCATTTTTGACGTCAGCGAGTTGCCAGGATGCTTCTCAGCAAGGGAGTTCGGGGCGCTGTGGGCTGCTGAGCAGAACGTGAGGTGCCTGGCAAGCAATTTTGTCAAAAAGTGGAAACAGGAGCAGCAGAGTTTGGGCGCTTCCCAGATGAGATGGAAAATGACAGGGTGGTTTGCAGATCTTGGATTGGGGCTCCTAAAGTTGGAGCTAGATGGGACTTGGGACTCTAATCCTTTTATGCAGCTGGCCCCAAATTACTAACCAGTGCTGCCTATAAATTGTTCTTCCTAAAACCTTTTGGGCTTCTGGCCTGATTTTGCAGAAAAGCAGCAGTTTAACAGCTGACAAGAGTATGGGGAGCACACAATGCCCATAGGTCATTAATTCTTGAAGCTGAATTTACTGAGGAGATAATGGATGAAACTTGACTCTGCTAAGCTCTCTGCTCCTTTTCTAGCAGTGTTCAGTAGTTAATTTAAATCTCACTTAGGAACTATTTGTGGCATTAAAAGTCCTCCAGGCATACTCTGGTAAACTTTTAAAAAATATCCCTGTCCAGAATGCCATTAAGATGTCATGTATCACTTCTGAATTTCCTGTTCTAGTGTTGGTGGTGGCACGGCAGTTGGTGACCACAACTCAGCTTTGTTCCAATGAATTGTTCCCTTCCGCAACGTTCATTCACCGATGCCAAAACTTAGCTTTCACAGTCTGTCCCCATGGAAAGCGTGCGAGTTCCCTTGTTGCAGCAGCATCACAAAATGACTTAGGTTGGAGGCTGATCAGAACAGGGTTTTTTATTTGGGAATGGAGAGACAAGACTATAGCCCACTTTCATACAAGTAGGCATACTGGAGTCGGCAGAATTACTCAGAATAATAAGGGTGAACACCGCATGTGTCGTTGAAACTATGAGGGACGGGTACAAAAATGGAGGCATCTTGTTTGGATTGTTCTGGAGTTTGGAAGTTTTTCTGATTGTGGTTTGTTTTTCTCTTTCCCTTTGGCTGATCCACTCCATTTACTGATTGTAAAGACCTTTTGATAGTGAGATGTGCTTAAGGTAAAAGGATTTTGATCGCATCAGAGGGGCAACTCTTATTTAAAACCAGTAGTTGTTGCTTCCTTTCTTGCATTAGCATTACTATCTGCACTTGGTATACTTTTTTTCTTTCACCCTCCGAGTTCGGCGTGTGGGTTTCAAAGCAGTGCCCTTCACGTCGTCAGTAGTGTTAATCTTGGCCTAAACCTGATCAAGATTAGCCTTCAGTTTGGAATGCACGTAATTCGGAAAGTTAAAGTGTGGGTGCAATTTTGCACTGACTGCTCTTTTGAAAGAGTAGTAATTCAATTTAAAAGTGTTTGTGGTAGAAGGGGTTTTCTCCAGTCCTCGTGGAATGTACCTCATTCAGTGTCGCTGTACTTCAGGTTAGTTAAAGTAACCTTGCCCTTAAAAATCCTGAGGTTTTAACGTCTCTCTCCTTTTTTCCTCCTCTTTAGAATGTGTCATGGCTAGAGGAGAAGGAGAAGGAGGTCGTCAGCGCATTGCGCTACTTTAAGACTATTGTGGACAAAATGGCAATTGATAAGAAAGTATTGGAGATGCTGCCAGGCTCAGCAAGTAAAGTGCTGGAAGCCATCCTGCCCTTGGTGCAAACCGATCCACGCATCCAGCAAAGGTAAGTTTCCTTCTTGGGTTTTGGGACTATGACAGACCAGCAGGCTCCCAGCTTCTTCCCTTCTTGTGTCTGAAGAATCACATCGCGCAGGAGACAGGGAATGCTGCAGTGGCTAATGAAGTGACTGCTATTTTTACTAATTATGTGGTAGTTTTCAAACATAATTTAGAAGCAGATTCCCTGCTGCGAAGAAGCCCGTGCTGTGGAAAGATAAAGCAAATAAGAATGGTTTCAGAGAGGAGGAAGGGCTGATTCTTAGCATAAACTTGGAAATGCATCATTTACTAGCGGGAGATTCTCCTCAGATGCTATACTGTTTCTGCAGTCTATGATGGTATCCTAAAAGCTAACAAATCCAATAGCTTTTACCTGGAAAAGAGTTTATCTTCAGAGTAATCCCTCTTTGTGTTCAGTTTATCCACCCTGATACTAGAGAAGTCTGAGCCTGCACTCTTAACTGCTTTTTTGATTTTACTGGATCAGATACAGAACAGAAGTAAACAGATGTACTTCAGTAGAGTAACCAGTCCAAGTTCATTCCTGTGCGCTCTCAACAGATTATTTGTTTTATGTTTTAACAGATTACGTACATTATGTTTTAACCAGTTAGACAGTGGGTTTGAAGCCAGAAAAGAAGTAGAAACTTGCCACAGCAAAGCTCAGCATGGATTATAAAAATTTGTGGAGTTGCCAAGCCATAGAGATATAGCTGCTGTTCATCCCATAGATGCTGGAGCAATTGATTTACACAGAACAAGCAAACATTGTTGAATAATACAGAAAGAGCAAAATTAGCGCAGACAGAGAAAAGCACAAAACTAGGCAGAGAAATGCAGGTGTTTGGTTCCGGAAATCCTGCCAGTTTTAGTGCTGTTCCTATTTGTTTTCCCATTAAGTATCTCCAAAATTTTTGTTTCAGGATGCTTATTTCAATTCTGGTGCAAGAAAGGTTTATAGTGTGGTCAAGACAGCAGTAGGGTGCAAAATATTTTGCAAACAAGAGATGCTTAGCTGTGTTTGGCCCTAATGCATAGACCAGGGTTGTATCTGACGGTACAAAAGGGAGGAGGCAATGGGTGAGTATCAGAGCTGTGACTGGGACAGGAGAGATCCAATTTAGGTTAGATCTGTAGAATTATAATGAGCAATAGCTGTTAGAATGGGAACATTCATCAGGCTTCTGGATGCAGACACAAAAGTTTCTTCAGTTGCTATCAGGTTTCCCACAGCCATTAAATTCCTGACAAGCACCTGCTTTCACTTAATAAAAGAAAGAATGAACTTTCCCCTTACACCAGGAGAACATGTAAAATGTCAGCAAATATTTTTAGGATAGAACATGTCATCTTTATAGTCGCTTGCTTTGATTTGTGTATCCACTGGGTGATCTTTCCTTCCAAGAATATATTTGGAAATAAATATCAACTAAGTGGTCTTCAGCAGCAGCAGTATTTCAGACAGTTCTAGTCTTCAAATTCCTTATACCCTCTCTCTTAGTAGTCAACTAATGCAACCTTGACAGTTGGATATCCATATTTACCCATATAAGCAGAATTTTCTTAGTCAGTAGTCAATGGAGTCCTCGACATAGTGGTAAGTCTCTCTTTCTGGAAACAATATGTATTACAGCACAGATCCCATACGTATGTTCTGCCTTGTTTAGCCTCACAGCAAAAAAGGAGATCTGGCATTCTCAAAAAGCCGTGTCCTTTCATGCCTACCTATGCACTTAGTTTCTTTTGAGTAGTGGCAGGACACAAAGGGGTGATTTTGATAGCAAATCTCCCTCAAGAAAAGTGAGCAAGACTTGTGTCAGTGTGGAAGAAAGCCCTACAATTATTGTTGGACTTCTTTCTGCTTTAGGGGAAGCGTTTGCATCAAGGAAAAAAGTAATTAAATCTGGCACAAAATGGGCTTTCAATTACTGCCTCCTTAGAAGGAAGCAGACTGAAGATTAATGGCAAAGAAATCAAAGCCCTAGAAAGAGATGGGGGAGGGCCCTATTTAGGAAATACCTCCTACCAAGCTAATTTCATTTGAAATTAGAACAAATGGCAAGCAGCATGCTTTTAAAAAAAAAAAACAACAAAACCAAAACAGCCAAACAAAGAAGTACTTGCCGTTGTTTGTATCCCCCGGTTGTAACTTGACAATAGTTCTTTCCCCAGTCCTGCAGACTTCATTCACCTAAATAATCTCATTGAAGCTTGTGGGCTTGATTCTCTTCTCACAGATAATGAAATTACTGGAGTTAAGCCAGTGTAAAATGGATACCAAAGAGAAATGGGGAGATTTGGAACGCTCGTATCAGTAATGATTGCAAGATTACACCTTCTCTTATCTGTTTATGGTTTTGATGCAGTTTGAAATTAATTTAACTTTACAAAGAATTGTTGAAGCGTTGCCATCGGCAGTACTGTTAACACACCTTGTTTAGTAATAAAGCAAGTGTTTTTCAGAATGGCCAGGAAAATGCCTGTGAGCACTGTTGTTACAGTTAACTTTTATTTAGAGTTGTCATCCTTCCAAAATTCTTTTTTTTTCCCCTTCAGAACAATAGCTTCAATTCTGTTTCTCATTAGAAACAAAACAAAACAACACCCTTCCTCTTCCAAACCTGAAATTCATTCAGTTCAATTTCTGTAAAGAAGCAGGTTTTAATTACATCTTTTCAGGCATTATAAACAGTGAGGAAATGATTTGTAAAGGAATGAATACAGTCAGCTCTCAATTATCCAAGACATTTTTGGAGAGAAAGAAGGAAAGCATAGATAAAACTGAAATAATAGACTTAAATACAGGACTTAAATACTTACCTTTGAAGTTAAGGCATAGGATGGAGCTGCAAATTAAAATGGAAAGCATGTTCTTTTTAGCATTGCTGTGTTAACCTGCAGCCCAGATAATTCGTTCTGTTAACTGAGAATGAACTGTTGATTGTTTGTACCTTCATACTGTCGTCCCATTTGGTGCTGGAGAACAGGAGAGCAACTGCAGCGGAGGAGAAACCCGGGCTTTGTCACCTGCTAAACACAAATTCTGAATGTCAGAAAGAAAAGGAGAACAATCACATTTTTAACAGTGTGAAATGCACTTTAAATCAAGCACGCTCGTAACATTTGATAGTATCTCCATAATTTCATTTTGTTCTTTTTTTCTCAACTATTTCCTCCCCTGCCGTTCAGTTCTGCCATCTCGTCCTGCTATAGCCGTGTGTACCAGAGTCTGGCCAATCTAATTCGCTGGTCTGATCAAGTGATGCTGGAAGGTGTGAATTCAGAAGACAAGGAGATGGTGACAACAGTGAAGGGTGTCATAAAAGCTGTTCTGGATGGAGTCAAGGTACATGAGACAAATATTGTAAATTATATTATATAAGGTATATAATAATGTATTTTAGAAGAGATCTAGTTGAAAGAGGTTTTTAAGTGCAGGTAAAATATAAAGATCCTATTCTTGCCTTCAGTAAACTACCTCTTAAATCAACTGCTCTGTAAGGGAAATGATCCTGCTTGGTGTGCTGGTTAAAGAGTAGCACAAATGGTTTGGCTATTAGTGTGTGCTTCTGAAACGCTCACCCTGGCATTTGGATGAATTGGAAGAAACCATAAATCTTTATTGAGGGTTGTATTAAAGTTTCAGCAAATCGTTCCCAGTCTCCCATGCAGATTACAAGACAGAGTTTGCATATTTTCTGTCTAGGCAAAATATAATGGAAATGCTTCCTGTCAATGCCCACAGAGAATCAAAGACGCCAGCTCCATCCCTTAACATAAATTTCAAGGGATTCGTCAGTGATACATCACCGCTTTCAGCAGTCGGATTAGGGTGTGGAACAGGTGATGAGCTAAGCTCAGTTTTCTGGAGATTAATTTTACATAACTAATGGAAACGTTTAACAGAAACCTTTGTATCCTTTGTGAGACCTGCTTATAGCATTCCCTCCCTGCCCCACCCAGGGAAAGTTGTTGGCTTTCCTTCTACTTGCCGGTAAGCTTTTGGTACCCATTATTTCTGTTTCCCAGGCTTGTCTCTGGGCTGATGGCCACGGAGGCTGTTCATTCAGCTGTCGTAGCACTGCAGTTAAAATTTGCTTGACCTGGGCTCAGTGCACCAGCGGAGAGACCATCATATCTCCTGGGAACCTTATTTTGCAAACTGTAGAGAAAGTTAAGTCTCTTTCAACAGCAGGGCTGAATCTAAAGGGGAATATTTAGATCAAGTACAGAAGGAAGGTTGGGGTAGAGTTTTAAGAACTGCAGCAGGTGTTCCACCTGGATTAGTGTATCAGGAACAGGCATCTTTCACTGTACTCAAACTCAGCTTAGTTTTTATTAACTGGGGCTGAATGCAAAAATGAAGTGGATCTCCCAAGGTTTGGCTATCATGTTTTCAGGAGTCTCGGTGTGGTGTTTGCATGCTCTGAATATCTCTCTAGTGTTGCTCAAACACAGATACTAAAATCTGCTATTACTTATCGAGCCTTTTAAACAAATATCTTTGAAACAAAACATTCCCATCACCTAAAGAAGACAGATTTTCTAGGATTATTTTGCACAATATGCTCTTTAACTTTAAGCTCCAGATTTGAAAAGTAAAGCCGATCTTAAATTTGCACAGCAGGATGGAGAAAAAGAGTTTAGCGTAAAGTCTCAGCTGCTGTTAGTGTTGGAATTCAGCAGCAATTTGCAGTACGTGAAAATCTGCACTGTGGTATCTGAACTGTAATACCCCAGCAAATAGCGAGACAGTTTGTTCTGTTATCACTTAATGAATCCGCACGATCCCGTGGAGAGCAGTGTTAGCACCAGATCCAGGATAGAGTTGTGTCGTCTCATTGCAGGAGTCTTGGACACCCACTGTCCTTTCACTGTCAGCAATATTTAAACCCTCGGTACCTGTTGCCTTCCAGCCAAGTAGCGTGCCTGTGCGGATAGGTGGAAGGTCTCAGATGCCTGCTCTACCCGCGCTGCGAGCCAGCCTAGGCTGGAAGCGATGCAGGCATGTCCACGCAGTGCTAAGCCTGAGCTATTAAGCCCCGCTGAGCGGCATGGCTGTATCAGTCTCTACTTTGTTGTTAGACTAAAAGTTATTTTGGCCTTCCAGTTGGAGCTGGCTTATGTCTGGTCAGCTTGGAGCATGGTTAGAGCAGATGTGTGGCTGTCTGGGTGGATGCGAATGTGTCTGCCCATCACCAGGTCAGCGTTTGGAAGCGGTGTGTACTCATCTCCTACTGCATAGCGAGGAACAAGGTTTATTTTAGAAGGGCCAAGCCAGCTTTCAGATCTGAAAGCAGAACTGAGAAGTTGGACACTTTTCTGCTGTGGAGAGCCTTTTTTGGTTTTCTGGCAGATCATACAAGATCCACTTCCACATTTCAGTGCTTACTTCCCCCTTTATTTTCAGAATTGAGCATAAAGGAGTCGCTTGTTCACTTGCGTTACTTGCTGTTTTGATCTCAGGCTTTAGTGCCCTGCTAGGCATATATAAAAAGAAAAAAAAATCCTTGTTTTGATTACGTAACTTCTTAAAAATCTATCTCATTTTGGAATTTCCAGCTTCCTGAAGTAGCATAAGTTTGTAGAGAGGCTTTAATTATCTCTAATTACTGCTGCAGCAATCTCTTTACTTGCTGATAAGGAATAGCATAATGTGCATCTGGCTCGGTTGCGTGCTGATTACCTCTGTGTGTACATTGAAGATCTTGACTTGATTTTCAAACACTAGTTCTCATTTTGGGGTTAGCAGAGAGGAGGAAAAGTCAGGGTCCAGGGAATGTGGTGGTATTTGTTAAATTTTAGAGGAAAAAGGGATGCTCTCATGTATTGTCAATCATATGTTGTCTCGGTGTCTCTGGTGGGAGGTGTTTTTTGGGTTTGGTGGGTTTTTTTTTTTCCCACAGCAGCAATGGTTTGAATCCTTCTAAAGCTACTTTTGAGCTAAATTGGATTGTTTTTCTCCCCTGTTGTAACCTACACTCCCATATGGTGGACAAGCGTGTGTCCATTACAACTGGCAAAATAGGAAAACTGAGCGCTTCAGCCCCGAGCATCGGGGGCTCATCAGCGGTGCTGCGGCACAGCTGCCACCGCCGCAGTCTGCAACCCTGGCCTTGGTTTGGTTTACGGTGTTAAAAGTGGTGAAGAAAGGTGAGGAAAAGGAGACGTTACATTTTCCCTTCCATCGCCCTTGCAGGGGGATGTTTAAGGAGTATTTTGGCTTTTGGTTTGAATGCCCATACATTTTCTTTCCCTTATGTCCTGGTTTCGGCAGGGATAGAGTTAATTTCCTTCCTAGTAGCTGGTACAGTGCTGTGTTTTGGATTTAGGACACCTTATTGTGCTCTTACATGTTGTGTGGAGTCACTGTTCTTGCTGGCGAGTACCCAATAACCTCACGGGGTCTGACGCCGAGTCCGTTGAAGTGCATGAGAGTCTCCAGAAACCTCTTCAGTGGTGGAAGTTTGTCCAGAGGGCAGGAAGGTGGCAATCCGTTGTGTCATCACTCGCTCCTGACGGTGACTCGGAGCGTGGTGCCAGCTGCAGCCAGAAGAGTCAAATGGTGTCACTGTGTGATTTCCAAATCGTCTGATTTACAGAAAAGCCTTGTTTGGGCTTTGTAGGCTTCCAGGTCCTACGGGTTTTTTTCCTAATGACGTTCTGTAAACTTTATAGGGGAATTTCTAAAGTCTAAAAGGAATAGCGAGTTTTTAATTAAAGATTGTTCATCCTGAAAGAGAGGATGAAACAGAGGAAAGTACATTTTTTAAAAATAGTTTCTGTTGAGTAACTGGGGACACTCAGCAGAGAAGTCTCAGGTCATTTCAGTGTCTGTGTTACCACCGTAGTTCTTCTGTGATTGAAGGGCCTTAATTATTTTACTTTTCTGCATACTGTGTAACGTACATCACCACAGTGGAGCTGATAGATTGTCAAAAGCCCTGTCGGTCTGTTGCTCCTTGTTGCAGAGTATTTCCCTGCTGGGGGACGTGGCCCTCCTTGGAGGTGGGAGCTGGCCAGGCTGGTCGGCTGTGGTCAACTTGGTGCTGCGCTTTTTCTCATCAGGGCACTTCTCAGAACACGCTGTTCCTCGCCAGGGCTCGTCTGGTCTGCCCCAGACAGGAACATCGTCATAGCATTAGCCCGCATGGACATCTGCATGTGCTCTGTTTGTGCTCTCTCTTCCTTCCCCACGTGTGGGATTTTCCAGGACAACTGGAAAGCTGACTGTTTTGTCGTGTTTTTGGTTGCCACGGTGTAAATTATTTCTGAGCACAAGCTCACACCAAGAATGTAAGTAGAACATCAAAACCAAGCTATGGTGGACATGTGGACTGCATTTGCCATCCTTTGCACATCCAGTGCAGTACTTTTATTCCTCTTGTGCATGTGTTGACTCACAGAAGTTCAGCTTTAAATAGAGCCTTATATAAAAATACGAGAACTAGAATATTTCTCTTCCTTGGAAGGATGACGATGATGACATTCCAGTTGCAGTTATTGCATTGAGAGAGCAATGACAGTTGTTTCCAAGCTCAGCAGACATGGACGTGAAGATAATACTGGAATGATGACACTGTACTTCAGGCTGCTTTAAAAAAAATTTAAAAATTGATCCCATATAGTTTCCTTTGCATAATATGCTGGGAAGCCAATACTGTCAGGAAGCAGTGCCAGTTTTCCAGCCTGCCTGTAAGAGGGCATGTGTTTGTATCTGTGAGCAGTAGATCTATTTGTTGGCCTCAGACATCCATAAAATGTTCTCTTGATCTTTCTGGCGTGAACGACTCTTGTTTCGACTGCTGGCAGACTTGTAGTTCAGGATTATCATGCCCTTATCTCTTTATCCAGAGCCTTATCTGCCTATAACAGATACACTACAGTAGTTCCTTGAATGATTAAGACTTCCATTGCTAACATGTTAAAAGATGGCTTCAGGGGAAGCAGACCTTTTAATAGGCCTGTTCGCTATTTAATTTGTTGTTGGGCACCTTACAGAAAACTTGCTTTTTGAAACAAATACATACTTGTTTATAAAATATAAAGCAATTAGTTAGTTCTTTTACTGGCTAGGTGAAGTACTCCACTGTGTGAGACTTTTCTGTACTTATATTTATGTACGTAAAGTCAGTTTGCCATTATCTAGGGCGTTGTGGGGATGGGAACACATTTGTGACAATAGAGGAAGGAGGAAGCACAGCAAAAAGACACATATGTGGGTTTGTGCAGAATCCCCATAGGGCCAGGGTTTATGCACATTAACTCAAATATGGCTAAACTACTGCTGGGTGCAGGCTGCTCCTTAGAAGCAGTGCTGCATCATTTGTACAGCTCTGTACCGGACTTACACCCAGCTCAACTCTCTCTGTGTCCATGCAATCGTTAATTCATAACCTGGGTAACCAAGAGTTTACTGCAGTAGCATCCCTTTCTGTCCTGGGATGTTTGAGTGCAGCATTCAGAAAATAATGATTATTCTCTTTTTCTTCTCTCCTCCATGCATCAGGAGCTGGTCAGACTCACGATTGAAAAGCAGGAGCATCCCTCTCCCACAAGCCCAGTTAAACCCAGTTTACCAGCATGTAAATCTGACAGGTGGGTCACTGACAAGGATTTCTTCTGTGTGCAGGACTAATATAGAAGGGATAAGTTCTGACTACTGATAGTTGAATTAAAGCATTCAGTTATTCTTCACAGAGGGTGACGTAGTGTTCTTTATGTAGCCTCATCCATTACAGTGGGACCACTTAGAGAACGATATGCTATGATAGGGAAGATACCAAAATCTGGCCATGAAACATCGCTTGGCCGTGACACATGTATTCTGCACGTACATGGAACTCCACCTGCAGATGAAAATTCTGCCTTCTGCTGTAGGTGCCTCTCGTATTGCATATGATTTAAAATATGTATTAATCTGTCAGCATGCTGCATTTCAACTGTGTTCTATGATCTGCAATCTGTATTTTGCTTGTTGCAGCCCATCAGAACTTCCCCTTACAGACCGAGAAATGGAGATCCTCAACAAAACAACTAATTTGACTCAATCCAACGAGCTACTGACCGACTCCATGGATGAAGAAGTTGCACCTCCTAAACCCCCTCTGCCTAGCATTCGTGTGGCAGAAAACAGGTAATACTGGCCAACCAGCTGACTGAAGAATACCAGTGGCTCTTACCAGCTTCTTGTTTTTTAAACAATCTTGCAAAATGTGCGCAAGAGAGGTCATGAGGAGGGTTAGTGACGCCTCTGAATTTCCAGTCCTCCAGAGTAATTCTTCCCTGCTCCTGGACTCTGTTTACGACTTTGTGTTCTCTCTGTCCTGTTTTGAGCAATACCCTTCGTTATCTGTGTTTTCCTTTCCTTCTTTTTATGTGAGGATAGTGCCATGCCCTGAGATCCATGCATGAGAGGCATCACATAAATGCGTAAGAACCTTATTTAAAACTACGCGAGTACCACACTGTACAACAGTGTCTTGTGCTGTTGTATCCAATGGGAAATGTTCTGTTAACCTCAGCTGGCAGTTACCAATCTGTCCTGCACATCCATGTTGTCCTGCGTTGCTTATCAGCTTAAGAGTGAAAGGAGCCAATAGTGCGTGAAAAAAATCTTTTGCTTGGTTGTTCTTACCCTGTTCTACGAGTAACCACATGAAAGTTTCTATGTTCTATTTTGAGAAGGAAGAGAAAAACCCCAATTCGCAGGTTTTTGCTCTGTGTGTATGATGTTTTTCTTCTCTAGTGCTGGTGCTAATGGATGGTGTGAAAAATACGTGTCGTGCTAATTTGAAAATGCGGCATCAAGGGCTGTGGCTGGCAAAAAGAATCACATTTCTATGTATTTTATGAATTCTCATGGGTTATATAAAAATTTCCTGGTATGTTCCAGGAACAGAGTACGTGTGCTCTTGGAAACCTCACAGGCTTGACGATTACCAGAATTATGTGTCATTAAAAGCAAAACCTAAAAGTACAGTGGTTAAAATCTCACTAGTTACTGCTAATGTGTGTATCTGAAACAGATTCATGCCAAAACAGTATACGTGGTGAGAGCAACGCTGACCATCTTGTTCCCTGAAGTTCACCAGGAGAGTAAAAGGGCAGAAAAAGAATTTTCCTGTCCTGTAAATTTTTGAAACTTTGAACATTTTTCAGACCTGGAAGGTTTGAGGAAGAGTGACTTCTGTGAATGGAAACAATATTTGGGTCAACCAAAACATTTAATTTGGATTTTCACCACTTTTATTAAGAAATAATTACCGTGCTAATTAGCTCCATTAAAAATAATTTTTAAAACAGCAATTGTTTTTGTTTGAGAAATGCCAACTCTTTTCCAACCTTAAAAAATAAATCACTGAACAGGACCTTACCTGTGAGAGTATTCTTAAATTGATATTTGTTAGTGGATACACTTTGCTGAATAGATCCGGGCCAGCTTTGGACAAGAACCTGTGAGTTCTGAGCCTGGCAAGTCAAAGGCTTTCTGGAAAACAAGCTCGTGAAGCCTCTGAAAGTCTTTTTGCTGGAAGAGTAATGGAAGCATCAATGCCTGTTGTGTCTTGCAGCCCTCCACCAGCATTGCCCCCTAAAAAACGGCAGTCGGCACCTTCCCCAACCAGAGTGGCAGTTGTGGCCCCCATGAGTCGAGCCACCAGTGGGTCCAGTTTACCTGTTGGAATCAACAGACAGGTAATGGCATAACCCCTTTGTGAAAGCCAAGGGAAACGTGCTGTGAACGGTAGCAAAAGCTCAGAGAGGTGCTGTGACCTGCAGCCGCGCAGTTCCCTGCACACCTCTGCTCGTCCCTGTACGGGAGAGCTCTGGAGCGGGAGTTTTAGCGACAGGAACATCAGTATAATAAATAATGTGAACAGCTTAATTTTTTTTTGCAGTGCTGTTGTATTTAATTAACAAATTGCTACAAACTTTGTTGCCTTGAGCTGTAGCAGAGTGTGAAGGTGTGAGCGGCTGAGTGTTGCCGTGTTGAATAGATCAGGGTACAGAGCAGCTGGCTGAGCTTACCGAGATCTCACCAAGGTTTACTTACAGGCCAAGGGAGCATGTGGCATATTGAGATCAGAAGTCTGTCTTCATCCAGTCACAATTTAAAACATCTTTTAACCCAAGCAGTAGTTTGAGCAACTGCTCTGACCACTGCTGGTGCTTTGGGGAAATTTGTAAATTTTCTGGTAGAAAAATGGAAAACTTGTGACTGTGTGTGTTAATCATATTCCATCACTTGTGCTAGTCTGGGGTTTATGAGGTTGTAAATGGCTGGGTTTGCTTTACACATTCAGGAACTTACTAACTCAGCAGTGAGGACCTGAATCGTATTAAATTGCACCAAAATCAAACCTCGTCCTCATCCCCAAAGCCTCAGCTCCGGCTTAGGGAGCCTCTGCTGTCGTTTGGCTGACCCAGATGAAGCTGTGGCAGTTCTTCAGTTACTAGTACAATCACACTTAGGTTGTTTTGCAAGAGTGGGAATACTTGAGGGGTTCACTCGCAGGTGGAAAAGCTTGAGGTAATTTCCGAAGTAGAAATGTCATAGGCGCAGAAAGTTGTATCTCACTATAACTTATTTTCCCTTTGCATGCACCTAAGCTAACCAAATATTTGCTGAAGACCCAGTTATTTAATGAGTAATCTTGCAGTCTGGTTACCTGGTATCAGTGTCTTGACAAGCAGTCATCAGACGTGTGTAGCAGTGAGGAACTTGGCCATCTTCTCAGCGTCTGTGAAGCCCAGCGTGGGTTGCAGCACACCCTGCCTGGAAGCAAGAACACACAGAGCTCCCTGGCATGGGCTGTTTACCAAATCAGACGTTTTCTGTGGTCCTGAAGAGCTTCTCTAACTAGAGAGAGCTAGCAGCACCGATCCTCTCCCCTCCTGGTTTTCTTAATGCAGCTGTGAGGTGTTTGCTCCTCGAGCTGCATCTTGCTTGCTAGCGAGCTGCCAAGAATGACGGTTATTTGGTTTTTTTGCTTAAGGATTTTGATGTTGACTGCTATGCCCAGAGAAGGTTGTCGGGTGGAAGCCACTCCTACGGGGGGGAATCTCCTCGCCTCTCACCGTGCAGTAGCATCGGCAAACTCAGCAAATCTGACGAGCAGCTCTCTTCCCTGGATCGGGACAGTGGTCAGTGCTCCCGCAACACAAGCTGTGAAACATTAGGTAAGCGAGGGGTTGTCCAGAGCCGCTGGAGGAGCCCCCATCACTCTTGTTCGGGAGCTGTTGTGGCTGTGATGCAGAAGTAAATGGATTGTGCTTGCAACTGTCATCTTGTAGTTGCTGCGAGCGGTTCTATGCAGAATTATATTCTGTCAGATAGGAAAAAGCCCAGGGGAATGTGTTTCCCTAGCTATAGATGATTGTGTTCAAACTCAATTCAGCTCTCAAGTGGAATGTTTTGTTGATTTCAGCCTTGTCTGCAGACATCAGTAGGAAATTACAGTCCTGGTAGACTAAAGCAATGTTGTATCTATGTACTAGGAAAGAAAATATAAATATAAATATGAAACATAAATAATCTCTGCAATGATCTACCTATTGAATTTTTGTTATTTGTTTGCTAGTGTAAAGAAATAACGATGAGAGTTTTATTAAGGCTGGACGTTACAGAAGGTGTAGCAAGATGGTCCCTGCTGCAAGGAAGTACCACTCTGATTAAATGAGCTGATTAATTAACTGATGGAGTGGGAGGGGCAGAATTGAGAAGGGCTAAGCAGTAAAAGAGAGAAAGTAATGCATCATTCTCCTGTCCCCTCTGTTTAACCAGATCAATCGGATCACTATGATCCAGACTATGAATTCCTGCAGCAGGACCTCTCCAACGCTGATCAGATACCTCAGCAGGTGCCAGGTATCCTCAGCCCATTGCCAGAGTCCTTGGGTGAGTCTGGCTCCCCTTTCCATGGACATGCTTTCCAGCTCCCACAGGGCAGCTCTCCTCCACTGGAATTCTGCAGCCTCTCGGGAGCAGCACAGCCAACAGAGACTCCTCCAGCTTTACCAGAAAAGAAGAGGAGGAGCGCAGCCTCTCAGACTTCAGATAACTCAGGCTGCAGGGTGTCCTATGAGAGGCACCCTTCCCAATACGATAACATCTCGGAGGATGACATGCAGAATGCAGCGTCTGTCCCATCAGTACCCTTCACGCCGTTTGCTGCTGTTTTGCCTTTCCAGCAAGGAAACTCTTCAGCACCGGTTGAATTCATTTCTGACTTTGCTGCTCCAGATTCTAACAGTGACCCAGAGAAGCCACCACCTCTACCAGAGAAGAAAAACAAACACAGTAAGCAAGTTCTTGTGTTTGGGTTTTCCTTTTACCTTTCCTTTTCCTTGCAGTTGTTGAACTTCTGATGACCACTAAGTAATGGTGACCCCAAGGTAACGCCCTTGCTTACGTGAGGCTGAGTGTCAAAGTCAGTTAGTCAGCGTCAAAGGCATGGAAGGGAAGTGTCAGTCCTTTGGCGGGGAGCTCAAGGCCCAGGGGAGCTGGCATCACACAGCATCTTCATTACTATAGTGAGACCATTTTACTTCTCTGTTTACCTGAGTGCAGATCTTTGAGGCACTCTGCCTTGCAGATCTTCCTGGTTTATCCTCCCTTTTTATGTCCATTCCTTCCCCCCTGCCCCCATTTTATAAATGTTTTCCCACTGCAGGAAAGAATTGGGTGCTCTCCAAGAGCTCAGAGAAAGGGCTGCTTTTCTGTCCAAAACCGAGCATTGCCAGAGCAGTTATTTGGCAATAGGAACACAGTCACCCACATAGCTGTGCAAGACAACACTATTAACCTAGCGTCCAGTACTGCTGTTTTGCTACAGGATCTCATTTCCTTTGGATGCCTAAGAATTTCCCACATCGTTAAAATGAGCAGCCTCTAAATGCGAAGGCTCGCCATCCCCAGCCAGACTCCTGGCACACCAGTACTGACTGCGACTCAAGCTCACGGCCTTATTCTGATTTCCTTAATGTTCATGGCTGAAAACACGTGAAACCTCTTGCCAAAAAAGCAGCCTTACTGATCTGCCAAGGAAGGCTGTGGACTACATAGTGAGATCCAGCAGATGTTAGTTTACTAGTCACTGGCTTCTTTGCAGTTGTACGTTGCATGAGGAGGTAGCGTATACAAGACCTGGATCAACAGCGTTACACTGTATGGCTGGCAGCCCAAATGAAGAGCTGATTCAAAAGTGCCGAGTTGGCCTTCTGACTCATTTCTGCAGTTTATAGTCTTTTCACTGGGAATAAGGTGAAAGTGAGATCGGTGTGTCATGCAGCAGGGTCAGTATTCTGTCCATTGCTATGATAGTTTACTATGCCAGTCATTTTTTTTTTTAAGAAGTGCGTTGGCTAAAAGCATTTCCATTATCCCTAAGTGACCAGTCCACATTTGTAACCCTCTGGGATTTTAATCAGACCACAAGGCTTGACCCACCTGAAAGTGAGGGTCATGTACTTCAGTGTCCCCATACATAGGAAATCACTTTTACCTCTCTCTGGTAAGCAAGCAGTTAAAAGATACTGAAAGCAGCTAAAAAGGAGCTTAGATGTTTGTTTGTAGATAACAGAAAGGAAATAAATGCTGGCACAGGGCATAGCCAGGGTTGGTTGTTATGGCTCGTGCTGTTCAAAATACTTGCCTGCAGTACCAGCTGCAAGGGGATGTGATGCAGAGCCTCCTTACTGTAGGATCAGGTCCTTGTGGGCTCTGCATATTAATAACGAGGGCAGGGTCCAGGTGGTTTTACACCATGCAGACTGGGATGGGTGCAGGGAAATGCACCTCTGTACACGTAGGCAGCTTTAGTAGGGGGAGACGCCTGCGTGAATCTTGGGTAAGAGGCAATTTGACAGTTGAGAGAGAGCGCTTTGTTTTCTGTTATCATATGAGATGTCAAGGAGTTACTTAAAAACAATTTTAAAAGCTATCTTCGTCATTATTGCCCGTGCACACTTTTAACCTCAATACCAAGGCCTTGTTTGTGAATTTTCTTTGATGTTAGAATAGAGTTAATCATCTGGCACTATCAGAAGCTCTTGGAGTATTGATCAGATTGTATTGTTAGGAAAGGTAGAAGCTGTTATCTAATGTGTTGTCAGCTCTGATGGTTTGATAAAGCATCCTTGCTGCAAAGCTTGTAGTAGTATTTGGGCTGTTACCTGACTGCTGCGGATTTTTTAACTGCATTCATGTGACACTGAGAACTTGTTTTAGATTGTCTTTACTCTACACTATATCACACCACAGATTTGTGGTTGTTAGTTTTACTTTTATTTTCAACATTAAAAGGGCAGTAAAACATTACTCAGGCTGTATGGTAGCACCCAGGATTTTTTTGCCTGAAGGCTGATGCATGTAGATATTCTTCTGTAATCATATAGGTGAGGCAGTGCTGCTTCCACAACCCCAACAAACTCCTGGGATCCGGAGGAGATGCATGAATTTATTAAAAAGATCTAGAGCTCTCACAGATGGAACTTGCTTGTAGTCCCTTTGTTGTAGGTCATCTTTTGGTAGTTGGCAGGAAATGTTGCAGCAGAGACTTCAATGGTCTTTTTATTGATAATATACAGCAAATCCTGCTAGGGTTAACAGTGTGTATTGCTGTGAGCTGTGCTCAGAGGGACCTCCAAGAGTTGACTTCTCTATAATTTAAACAGAGGAGTGATAAGCCTTTTAGCCTGGCATGAATTATTGTTATTTTACTGTGCTATAATAGTACATGTTACTGTGCTAAGGACAAATTACTCCAGACTTCTGCTTGAGCACCAGCATCATGCTCCTGCTGTACAAGACGCAGACATGGAGCAGCTTCTGCCATGAAGAGCCCAGAGTCAGAAACAACAAGATCCTCCCCCCAAACAGCTTGCAAACTCGAAGCAAGGCACTTATTCATGTTTCCCTCCCTGTCAGTGGGAACAAAATGCAACCTGGTGCCCTGTAAGCAGCTGGTATTTAACTGCAGGAACCACGCTGAGGGCAGCCTGGGCTTAGCCAGTGGATAATGCGAGCTCTTTGAAAAACAGCTCTCCTCCCAGAGGTGACAGCAAAGGCTGGCTTATTTAACCTTAACTTCTCCAGTGAGTTGATGTGTGGTATAGCTTAAAAATTTCCATTATTTTGGCTCTTGCCCACGCACACAAATCTGTTGCGCTTGTTCCGGGCCAGTTGTAACACAGGCTGCTGACACAACGCCAGGAGTCAGGCTAGACCAGTGAGTCCTCCTCATCGGGTACTACTATGCCTTACCTATATTGCAGATGTGCCTTATTGCTGATAATCTTCTAGAAGTTCCTTGCAGCTTCCAGGACCAGCAGCTGCACGGCGAGCTGGCTTGGGTGCTGCTGGTGCCCTCTGAGCAGTACCTGTGACTCTACCACGTGGGCAGAACTGGTGTGTGATAGAAATCCCTGAGCAGCTTTAGCTCCTTCAGAAATGACAGCCAAGGCACTGCAGGCAGATTGCTGGGAAGGTGTTCCTAGCCTCAGTCTGAGATTTTTTTTTTTCTCCCCCCAAATATTTTCTGTCTGGGTTCAGAACTGACATAAGCTGGGCACGGTACTGTGATGGGAGAGGTTTCTCTCTCACGCCTCCCTTCTCTCCCGGGGTGCTGCCTTGAGACTGTGTCACTCCACCCCAGCTGCTCACCGTGGAGGTTGCAGCCCCCATCCCTCCCTCTGCACAGAGTCGCTGCAGGGCGTGCAGCCTGATCTGAGCTGGTGATGTAATTTCCCATCTGCTTTTTAAATTTCTGCCTTGTTAAATACCACAGCAGAGAGGGGAAGGGATGGAGGGAGACGGGAGAGAGAAGACCCTTTGCAAACAGCAGTCTCAGGAGTGGCCCTGCTCCCTTACTCTCCTGTTCAAGATTGGCAGCATTTTAATGATGCCCATTTGAATTTGCGCTCTGCCGTCTCCACTCCTGAGCCAGGTTTGTATTTCACCATGCCAACTGTTTTTCGCTTCACCTAAAAACAGAGAAGAAGACAAAGTAGAAGCAGAGACATGCTCACCCACCCTGGGCTAGCTGTAACAAGCAGGGCAGGGGAGCTGCCATGGCGATGGGATGCATTAGCCTCCTAAAGAGCTGAGATAAAAAAGCTCTTCATTATTCCCTTGCAGATTGAGTTAAGGCTCTCAACAGCATTCAGGCTTACTACCTTGAGTTAGAGTAATTTAATTTTACACAAGTGTCTAATGTGATACCCTTTTTGCCAACACTTCCCGAGTTGTAGCATCATACAGACGTCTGAACCCAGGAACTCACAGCTGTCAATCCCGAGTGTTGTCTTTAGATCTGGACGTTCAGTGAAGCACTGTTTTTGTAGGTAACTCCGCATGAAGGGTTGCTCTGAATTTGGCAATGTCAGCTGCATTGCACCAGGACTGCCAAGCCTGACTTCTTGGCTTTTGTCCTACTCAGTTGATGAGCTCTCAAAATGTGGTCTTTTCCCTCAAGCTCTTGTCCTCTACGCTTCTCCAAGGAGTCTTGATCCTTAGTTCACTTTTGCTGCTAGAGAAATATCTTTCATAAGCCTTCTTTAGATCTTATCCTCTAATGTTGTTGTATGGTACCAAGGCATTTTTCAGGGCACAGGTATTAATAGGAGTACCTTAGTCAACTGAATCGCTTACGTTTGAAAACTATTTTAGCAATTCTGTATTTTCTACACCAAGACTCCTTCACCATGATTTCAACTAAGAGAAAATTGCCAGAACGTGCTTCTTTTCACTGTTGGGACTTAGGCTAAAATTCACGGGCATGAGGAAATTTGGTCTTGGCTTTAACATGAGTGCTGACACCAGCAGATGAGCGGGCACAAACGCACACCAACACGCATGTGTGTGCAGTTTGAAACCTCTGTCACACTCACTTCAAAAAGGAGAGGTCTGAACCAGCAAGGGTGGTGACTTACATCTGTGAAGTGGTGCTGGGAAGGCAGGAGGGCGGCTGGGGGAGGAAGAGGAGCAAGGCTCGGGTAGAAGGGGGTACTGGAGGTCAGAATTTCAGCAGCCTTGGCAGAGCTGTGCAGGAGCTGGCAGTACTGCGGGACATGAACAGGTTGTCCACTGGCAGCACCATGTGGGGTCACAGGATGGGGACAGCAGGTGTTACCGGTCGGGATTGAAATCCATCAGCTGAGGTTTCCTGCACGCCGATTGCCACGACCTTTTTTTTTTTTTTTTCTTCTCTTCCTTTCTCTTTATTCTATTTTTTGGAGGAGGGATATCATTCTGTGGGAAGGGGCAGCTGTGTTAGCTCCATTTCTAAATGGAGTTTAAAATATTAGAGGAAATCTGAAAAAAGGTGCAAAAGACAGGTGCAAAGCGACTCCTTCCTGCCGACACGTTTGCACGGCTGCATCCTGTTTGAAATAGGCTGGCCCGCAGATCTGCATTGACAGGTGAGCAGAGGGCTTTGCCTTGCAGCTAGTGTGGGAACCGGCTTCACGATGTGCAAATACTGCATTGTGGTCGTTGTATTTATAGCTTTCACTGAAGTCATCCATTCATTTCAGCTGTACAACTGAAATGCCAGCAGAAGCTGAATAATTGCCACCTAATGACCAGATTTACAAAAACTGACAACTGCTTGTTTATCAGGAAGAAGGGAGGAATGATCACAGCGTATCTCGTGCATGACAGCATATTTACAAAAAAGGCCTTGGTTAGTCCTTTTTATGACACTTAAATACATCTATTGCTCCTGTTCTCAGGTATATAGCAGAGTTTTCTTTATTTATTTTACATTTATTACATACACTTCTGAACCTTAATAATTCTGGGGTTTTGTAGTCTTTCTATGACACTGGGTGTCATTCTCCCCCTCCAACACTAAAATATTGCAGCTGTAACTAATCCTCTGTCAGAGCCGCATAGGCAGACCTGTGTGGTTTTTTTCATATATTTTGGAAGGATATTGTACCGATGGAAAGGTCCTCTAAATAAGATTTGATCCCATTTAATATTTCCATTGAACCACATCTCAGAAAAGCTTTTGAGTCAGTTGGATTCAAAAATTGGAGATGATAAGATGCTTTAAATAGGGATGGGAGCAAAGGGTGTTGGATTTGAGCTAAGGAGGTAGGAAGGCATGGTCAGTGGCACTTTTAAAAGGTAAGTCTCTTGTGCCAGCATTGGCAGTGGCATATAAATAGCTGATGGAGAGGTACACCCAGTCTCACAGGTAGGTGTTTTCCGATAACAGTTTTATCAGCTTGCTAGAATGGAGAAAGGCTGCAAGCCTCCTCGTTCTAGAAATCTTGCTGACTACAGGTATGAGACTTATTATAGGCACAAGAATTATTACAGATTTATTGTCAAGGTTGCATCTTTGTACAAGATTATATGTGCCTCCTAGAAAGCAGACTAAAGATATTCTGTTTTTTTGGTGAGTTTGGGCATTAGCTGTTGAAGAATATTTTCAAAATTGCCATGGGTTACATGAGGAAGGGATTTGGGCTAAGAGTCAGTGAATCAGACTTCTCAAGTAGCTGTCTGGAGACCTCGCTGGTTCCTTAAACTGTTGTCAGATGTGTTTGTGGCCTGTGATTATGTTTGTTGTGCCCTGGCTTGCAGGATGGGATATTTAGATCCTTTCCTGCAAGGTAGATGGCAACTGACTGTGTGAGCTACCTGTGAACAGGGCACGGATGCCTTGCTGCTCCCGGCCTGCAGCAAAGCCCGACTGAGAGTGGCATGGCCTTACTCTTACTTTATTTTGAGAATGCCTGCTTGTTGCAGCTGCACCGTGCGGACCAGGAACAGTGATGCGACCTTTTTTTTGCAGTGATGGCATATATGCAGTTTGTGGAAGACTACTCAGAGCCACAGCCATCCATGTTCTACCAGACCCCTCAGAACGAGCACATCTACCAGCAGAAGAACAAGCACCTCATGGAAGTCTATGGGTTCAATGACTCCTTTATCAGCTTAGACCCCTCTCAAGATCTGGCACCTCCTCCTGCTCTCCCACCGAAACAGCGGCAGCTGGTGAGTGACATCCATGGCGCCCTGCCCGGCAGGGCACACCGGCCTCCCAGGAGCAGCTCTATTCTTGCTACTCCTGTTTCTGACAGGCTGCTGTGGTGGGAGGATGTCTCGTTGGTGTTACCACATCATGCTCCTTGTCATCTTGTTAACATGTTTTTAGGCATTTTGCATCACCTCCTTTGAGCTCCTTTCTAACCCTACGTTCAGACTGTTCCCCACAAGCTCTGAAAGTCCTAAAACGCCCTAAAAATGAAACGTTAATCTTCCACATGGCATGGCTGAATCTGTGCCAGACTACAGGCTTGTGTAACAACAACTGCTTTGAAGATTTTGACACGCTGGGCAACACGATTTTCAAAAGATTGCTGCACTGTTGTTCCCAATGCTGTTTTGAAACTGTTGTCAAGGATGCCACAAATAATAACTGTTTAAACATAATAACTGCTTTTATGGCTCAGTCTTTGCCAGAGCCACAGAACTTCGGTATAGCCATTATTTAACTCAAGCATGTTTTCTCCACATTAGTCCCCTTGTGTGAGTCAGGATTTTACCTGTTTTTCAGTGTTCTGCTAGCCCTTCCAGACTCCCAGCACAAAAAGGCACATCCACATGTGTATGTGTGTCGGGTGGTGGGTTTAACAGTACAGCAAGTGCCATTTTCCATGTAGGGGATGAAATCCTGGCCTCAGTGATGGCAGCAGCAGTTTTGTTTCCAACCTCAGTGGAGCTAGGATTTTGTCCTATTTCTTTTTAAGGGTCTTCCTTTCTTTTATCTTTTTTTTTTTTTAACTCCAACCTTAGGGGGTTTGTTTATATTAATTATCTGATTTGCTCTATTTATTAAAAAAAAAAAGGCATCTTTTGTGCTGATGTAGCTAACTTAAATTGGCCATGGCTTTAACAAAACAGGAGGAAATGTGGGAACAGAGCCATGGTCTTACCATCATGAGGGCAACTGTTGCAATATTTCTTCATGTTATCTATGCTAAAGTTTGACTGTCCCAGGGTGTTACTTCTTAATCAAATGGGAAAAGCAACCAAGAGCTCTAATTTTGGGATTTGCATAACTACATTCCTGTGATACAGGTAGGAGTCCTAAAAAGATAAAGTAACGTTTTCTGGCTAAGCTAAACTGAGTAGTATGCATTATTGCTTTGTGGGGATGAGACCTTAAACGCCCGTGTCCCATCTTTGGTGAGTGTCCCTGCTTTGCAGGGACACTGAAGAGTCTACAGGACTCCTCTGAAGGATCAAGCAGTTCTCCAGAGTCCGTGGTCCCCTTGTCAGTGTGATCCTTGCACTGTCACTTGTACCTTGTAGTCCCTTGCCCTACCTCCTCCTCCTAGAGGTGGCTACACTCTAGTGATAGTTTCCAGTGGTGACTTGGTCTTAACACAGTCATGAGAGAGGGTGTGTAAAGCACAGATTTACTGTAGCCATTGTGCAGAAGGGAAATTCTGCTGCTTTTCTGAATTTGTCAGCTGAAGCAAAGCATTTCTTTGCTGCCCTTTAATCATTATCTGGGCAGCCAAGTTGTCACTGGTTTGCCTGCTAGGCATTCTTGTAGTCTTGCAAGCTGATACCATCAAGGTGTTGCTTGCAGTTCCCTTGAAGCAAAGGTTTCTTCAAGTGCAGCCTGCCACCCTTACCTTCATCTCTCTGTTGGGAAAGTGGTGCAAGCAGACGATGGCTTATTCAACAGTCATTGTAAAAGCCACCAGACTCTTGTTCTTCTGCTCCTGCTGCCATGAGAATTTCTGAAACAGCAAATCACATGGGCATCAGCTGCTCTAGCAGTAGGCATGTTTTGCTGGATGGACTCCTCTATAAAATGATAATTAGGAAGTCCTTTCTTGTGAGCTTCGGATGTTATTTATGAAACAGTTGCACATTATATTCAATAAGTCAGAGCTGAGAAAACCTAGATATACCTTAGCCTCCCTCACACTCCTTACTATAGTGGAATTCAGGAGAAGTTCCTTACTAGTATTTGTTACTTACAGTGTAATATCTCCCTCTTGTGCAAATGATACATCAGTTTGGATTGGGCTGAAAAATGGCCGTACGTGACTGTTACCCAGTATCTCAGCAGTACCAGTGAGGGCCCAGAGATCACACTGGAAAGACCAAGTTGCCAGTCTGCAGGTTGCCACAAAAAAATAATGATCTGCAAGAGTCGGCTCCTTAACAGCTAGAAGCAAGAGCCAGTTCCTCCTTTGGGCGTCTGCCCTCCACACCATGGAGAAAAAAGGGCAGTGAGGAACAGCTTGCCTCTCCCCGCAGCAGCTGTCCATGGGTGAACTGGAAGGGGGAGGTGGGAGTTTATTTTTAAGGGATTTGTGAAACAAAGAAGATTTGAACTGTGATTTTTGTCATGCCTCTTGAGCTCAAGAAAGGCATATTGGTATGTCTGGCTCTGATGAACTGTATGAATAGCTGTTTGTTTAGCGAGCCATTATATGCATTGTTTTACAGTTAGCATTTCTTATCCTTTATTCATAGCCTTTTCTGTGCTCTCTTTCTTTGTGTCTTCTGTCTCTTGCTTTCTTCCCCCTCTTCAGCAGGCCTCCTATGCTGCCTCTTCTTTCTCTTCTGTCTCCTACTGTGTCCAGCAAACTAAAGTGCCCTTCACCCCCGAGGACATCGGTGCCACTCAGGGCCTCACTATGTCAGTCTCTAACTCCTTTCTCAACCGGCACAGCTCCTTTCCTGTGCATTCGGTGAGTTGCTCTCCGCACTTTAACACGTGTGCGTATTTGTGTCGGTGAAACACTTGTGTGCAAATTCTGTGCTTAAACGCTCTCAGTTGCAGGTAAAGGTGAAGGTTCTTTTGGGGGCTTTTGAACTCATGTAGTAATCAGCCAGGTGAGAAAAACTGTGTGTAAATCCTACTAAATGAAGCACAGGGGAGGTGTGGCTTCCATTACTTTACATACACATCGGTATTGACATTTGTGGCGAGGGACTGACGAAGGAGAGCTGGCCTGTGTGCCCAGGCACACTCCTTTGACCTACATGTTCCCGAGGCTGCACGTTGGAGCTGCAAAGTCTTTTTGTTCCGTTGCATAATGTCAGCGACGTGGATGAGTCGATTAAAGGCTGCTGTGTGAGTCTGGCCTTTGGAGAAGTGACAAGATGCCGTCCCCGAGATACATGGATTTAGTCAAATGTATGGAACAGTGGCTGCAGCTCCTTAATTTTTTTTCTAGAAAATGGCCTCTACCAGATCTTTCATCTCATATTTGCTTGTCTGCTTCCCTTCACATCTCCGTGGTCCCAAACAAGCTCAGTAAGCTTGTATGATTTGCTGACGAATGAGCAGGGTTTTCTCTCCTACAGCACTTGTGAGCAGTCTGAAGAGAGAACAGCAGGAGAGCTGAGAATGATTTAAATCAAAATAAGAATAATCTTAGAACACTGCTTAAATCTGTGATCAGCTGCTTAAATTAAATGGTAGAAATAACAGTGTTAATACAATGAAATTAAATCTAGCCATGGGATTCCACCAGCTCATCATTATGGGGCTCGTTTGCATGTAAAACTATGTGGTTATGCTCTGATTGCCGTGTGATAACAACTGAGAATAGACTATTTTTTAACAGTGACCTGGATGTTTAGTAATTTAGACTTCTTCTGGAGAAGAAATTGTCAGACAAGACTTGAGAAAATTCAGAAGTGTTCAATTAGTTTAATATTAAATGTTTGAAAACGGTATCCTCCCACTGTGCCACTGCTATCTTCCCATTTCAACACTTACTCATTCTCTAAAAATTAGCGATAATCGTTGGTCCAAAGAAGAAGAAAGTATTCAAGCACTTTACAAGTAGTGCTACTTCACAAGGAAGGAATTAAAGCTTTTGGCTTCCACTTGTGTGAGAGAGAGCAGTATCATAGTTTTGCTGCACAGATGAAAAGGCTGAGGTGCGGAAAGGTTAGTGCTTGCACAAATTTGTGGTAAACAGTTTTAAAATTTGAAGTAATGCAAAAGTTCTGAATTGTACAGCGCTCTTGTTTGATAGTGATCCTTGCAAGCAAAACACAGAACTATAAGACTAGGTAAAAGCACTTGACTGTTTTTGTTTTAATTGAGAGGCTATAAATATGATCCTATAATGCTCTGAAAATATGTGAGCACTTTCATTTAAAAAAGCATCCAGGTTGGATTAAATGATTACTACCTACTTAATTGTTCTGACCTGTTCTCATCTCGCTTTGGACTACATTATTGTGAAAGTATTATTTTATGAAATGTTAAAACTTCATTAAAAAATCCGTACTCATTTTTGCAAGGATTTGGTGAGGGGAAAATAAATGGCTGGAGCATGAGGAGCAATGAGAACAATTAGGCAGTGCTCTGTCAAATGCACAAAGGAAATAAGCTGAATTAAAAATTGTGATTTTTCCATTAATGCCTTTAAATTATAATAATCTCATAGTTGCTTGCGACTCTAGCTGGTCTATTTTTTCACAGGCAAAAATGTTTTTCACTAGTGCTCTGTCAAATGCACAAAGGAAATAAGCTGAATTAAAAATTGTGATTTTTCCATTAATGCCTTTAAATTATGATAATCTCATAGTTGCTTGTGACTCTAGCTGGTCTATTTTTTCACAGGCAAAAATGAGATTTTTCACTATGACAGTCTTTGTCTCCGAGCTGCAAAATACCAATGTCCTTACATGCATCATAGCTGACCCATGTAATACCATAACCGTGGTTTATCCCATTTTCCCTATCCCTAATAAGACAGAGATGCGAAACAGCTGTCAAGGTTTGGATCATTCCCAGGGTGACACCCTGCATTTCAGCACTAAGAAGGACCAGAGCCCCTCTTGCAATCTGCTCCCGAGCATTGGCTGGAAAGACCATGCCGTTTCACGTGAGGCATGCCGTGAGCTGCACCAGTAACACTTTAAGCACGTCGCTCTGCTCCTCTCATTCTCATGTCTTCATTTTTAACTCTCTCACCAAAGAAAGGCCACTCAAGTGAGCACTGTGGTGAACAACAATAAACCTGTTAAAAAATAAGCGGTAGCTTTCCACCAGCCCCAGCAAGGGAGTTAATGCTAGGGAGAGCACACCTTTCGCATACCAGCCAACGGAGGAGTTGGCCTCCTGTGTACCCAAATATCAGTGGTGATTATCAAATCTCTTAAAATGATATGTCTCCTACATTAATTGTTATCCACTCTGTACAGGAAGCAAAAACCTCCTTAGATCAATACCAGGAAGTCAGAGCTGATAAACGAAATGGCTGTCCATTGACCCAACGTGAGCAATGCGTTGCAGGTTTGCCAAGCGTAGCCAATTTTCAGAAAGTGCCGTGTGCTTTTTTCCTTCCCTGGAGACTGGCCTGGGGTGGACAGCAGGAGTCAATCCCAGAGGGAAGACCTGGCCCTGTACCCATCTGTTCACGTGCAGGCAGCAGGAAAGCCAAGCCTACACTATGTTTTGCACGTTAGCCCATTAGCTCTGTGCTCCAGGTGAAGGACTAGTGCCTTACTACTGATTTACGGCTCTTAAAAAGACTGTTTTCAGACAGTGTTTTGAAGCAAAGAAGAGGTGAAGTTGTTCAGAACATCTTTACTCTTTTAATTTTTAATGTATGAATTTCTTTTCTAGATCCCTGACTTTTTTCTTTCCAATCAGCACTGCAGACGCTGCTGCAGTCCAGAAGCCACCACTGGTCTGTCAACCCACTAATAGCGCTTTTCCTTTCTTTGCAGGAAATTGTGTCAGAGGTAATAGCTTTTACTGGATAGAGGCAGATCTTGAGCAACTGGATCAAACCTCATAGGTTTGGCAAGTTGAGCGTGTTTTTTAACCGAGTCTGATTCGTGTCTGGCCTCTGTGCCAGCAAGGGTCGTGTTTGTAGCGTGGGCTGATATTTTTAAGCAACTGCAGCATCGTATTCCCCATCCCATGCACAGCTACGCCATTAAATCCCACATCAGGGGGACAACTGGATTGTACTGTCAACAGTCATTTTAGGGATTCCCATCTCTTTTGGAAGTACTTTCTGTTGCTAAACAGTGGGAAAGGAGGGATGCAATAAGAAATCATCCTCCTTGGTAACTGTTGGCAGTAGTTTTTCTCTAGCTGATCACCTCCCTCCCTTCTTGTGAAGACAGAGATACTGTCCTTTGGTTTATTAACTCCTTGTGCTGTTTGACTGGAAATGGGTGGGCAGGCATCCAGACAGCAGGAATCGAATTTGAAATCTCGTTACTTCCTGGCAGGTGGGGAACTCCGCACTGACAGAGGAAATCAGTCCGGTGACAAGCTCTACTGCTGTCCATCCACATATTTTCCACCAAAGATGGCAGAAAGTCTTGCATTCAGTTACAGCTAGGAAGCTTTTCCTCGCTGAAACAAAGAACACAGTTGTTTCTCCAGGGCATGTGCATGCCATTAGTGGAAATTTGGCTGCATCCTCCACTATGGAGAAATAACTCGCCTTTCTCAAAATGCCGTTTTTTCTTATGTTTTCTTTTTAATTAAGAAACTTTTCCAGTAATTTTCCAGAATCCAAATTGGCTGTTGGATTCCAGCAGAAGGCGCAAGCGATTTCCTTATGAAAGCTCCAGTTCAGCGTTTCTGTTCTCACTTGTTCCCACCGTTCTTGAGCAAATTGAGCAAGCGCACAGAAAATTCACAGCAACTGTTTTTCTTTCTTGTGTGTGTGCTAACGTATGTTCAGGAAAAGGAGGGTCGGGTAAGTGTTTAAAGACGCGCAGAATGCAGACATGTGCTTCGCATGTTTTCCCCGCCTCACTCCTGTTCGTGTAGCTCACTTCCAGTCTGCAACACACGCCGCAGCTCTGGCCCTCAGCAGAGACTGAGCTGTTTTGATTCATATGGTGGTCCGATGGTGGGAGCCACAATCAAACCGGGACTGGGAGATCACAGTGTGTGAGTTCGTTTCTGTCCTAAGCAGGGTTTGGCTCCTTAGTTTGGAGCAGAAGGAAGAGGAAAAAAAGATTTGCATCCATTTAACCAGCTGCTGAGGTCTAGGTATTGTTTTCCCTTTCCTGTTTAGCGTTCTTTCTGTGTTTGTGTTCTTTTCCACTGCCCACGGCAGGCCTGGACGGTGGTATTAATAGTGCTCTTGCATGCTGGCATCACTGAATCCTGCTTCTGAGAACCACTTCCTCCGGTGGTTTATACATTTTTCTTGCAGTTGGAGCACTACCTGTCTCTGTGCAGGTCTCTCTAAACAGTCCCCTGTTGACTCCACAGGTCACGTCTTTTGTGTGACTGACTTTTTAGGAGCCTTGTCTTTGTCTCCAGGCTCTGCCTTTTAAAGATCTGCTTGCTAGATACGGTGGTATAGCCTACAAGCTAAACAAGAGTTGACGCTGTAGGTGGGATCAGATTGAATTCTCCTGATAGTTTCAAAAGAGAGATGCAGGATAGCATGGCTAATAAATCTTACAAATGTTTTCTTCCTCCCCTGCCCTCTTATTTGTTTTGTTGCAAAGATGTACAAGAATCCCTCTCACTTAAGGAGAAGTTTGGATTTTGTGTTTTCTCGTGCAGAAGCTGGGAGACCCTTTCCCAAGGGAACAGCAATCCCCATCCATCCATCTGCTCTGCTAACCATCGCTAAAAACAGGGAGGTCAGCTGTGCAGCCAGGTCAGAGGCTTTGCTGAGAAACATTCAAGCGTGAGGAGTTGCTGCCTTTCCTGTGGCAGTGCTTGAAGCCATTCTGTTGGCAGCTTGTGTTTCCAGCCATTCATTGTAGGAGCATTTCCTTCCTCATTAGCAAAAGTACCTGGAAGCCCAGCATTGTGTCATGAGATAGGAAGTCTTTTCCAATAGTTGTCTATGCAATTATATTCTTAGGGTGTAGCAGTTTTGTACAACACCCAGTATTTTGTGAACATAATTCTCTACTGTTAGAATTTGGGCATCCAGCTCTGGCACGTTGCCCACGTCGCTCTCTTAATAGCATTAGCAGAGGAGATCTAAAAGATTGATCCTTTCCTCTGATAGCTTCATGTTTTGGAAGTTTGATGCTCTATCTGATCTGGGAGCGTCTGGCAGGATTGCAGATTAATTTGGCAGAAGTAGTCCGTAGGGTAATTGAGAAGGCTGTGCTTAAAAGGTAAAGATTGTGTCTGCTGATGCTGCAGATGCTCTGATAGCCATATAATTGAATTCAGCTTTGAATTTAGGATGGAGACTGCTGTTACTCGCAACCGGTGACTCCCCGTGCATAAACACTCTGTCTCCCTGTTACTTGTGGTCAGCCATGCGTAGTGAATGTAGAGGAGCGTTACTCTTGAAATAAGTTTTCTATTAGAGTGCTTATCTCCTGCCATCTAATCCAAATAAACGGTCGTAATGTCATTGACCTTTGGGACATCCTGTAACACTGCTGCTAATGATGGAAAGCTGTTCTAAAATATTGACCGTTGCAAAAAATCAAAGGCAGCGAAGTGAAAACGTTGAAAGACGCCATCTCTGGAAGACCTCTGTGTGTCACGGTGTGTGGTAAACATTCAGGTCCGGGCACGTTAGCTTCCTGCTGTTCCCCGAAGACAAGATTGCTGCGAGCTCAAAGCACGCTTTGTGGAAGTACTTCCCGAGTGGCAGATAGGTTGGTTTGGGGTTTTTTTAAATCCACTTTACTGGTGAGAGATCTCTCTCTTCTCCCTGTGTTGGCTGTTTGCCGTTGCAGGTCAGGATCGCTCGTGCTGGGTGACCATCTTCTGGTCCTGTGGTGGGAGCCTGGCAGCATGGCCGGAGTTTGGATAGAGGAAAGCATCCTTTCTCAAAGGATCCGGTTGCACCTTGCTTTCTAGCTTTACCAGAGATTGTTTTGAAGTACTTCACTTAAAGCAAAGCCATGGAGTAGGAGGTTGTGTCAGTACAGCCATAACCCAGGCCTTACTGACCCTGCAAGAAACCTCTAAGCAGCAGATTAAAACAAGCACTGATTTGTTTCCAAGATAAACCGTTGCCTGTGATTTCTTGGGAGGAGGACTAGAGGATGACTAGTTTGCTTGTGACAGTTCTGTTGAATGGACTGTCCCCTCCCAAAAAAAGTATGTCTTTTAAAGGATGACAGGGCTTCCAAGAGATGTACAACACCCAAACCCCGTGGAAGCTGTTGCCGCAATTCCTGCTGCAGCTGCTGGCTGGGCTGGGCTGGGTTGGACTGGGGAGCAGCAGGAATGGGTGCCGTGTGGACATCATCTCCACCGCAGGGTGTTTTTTTTTTCCCCTTTAAAAGTATGCTTCATTCTTGGCTCTTGTCCCAGCATGGCTGCATAGCTGGAATTCCAGAGCTGCTTGCAGGCTCCGGAGGAAGGAGGGGGCTCCCTGGCTCGCTTTCTACAAGATGCGACTTTACAACAAGACTGGAAGTCGAGAGCAGCCTGGCTAATTAATGCCAGCACACCAAAGGCTTCTCTGCACTGTTCCCTTTGTTAACGGCATGCTGAGAGCATGTCTTGCGTCGTTAAATGATTGTTCATGGATCACATAATGAAGATTAATGCATTTTCCTGGGTACCTGGGCCTTAAACCGGCATTTTCAACACATCTCATGCCAAGATACTGTTTTGGAAAGTGTATTGATGAGGCTGAGGAGAGATGAATGTATAGCAATTGTCAGTAGTAACGTATCCGAATTCAAACTTTTAAAATTTATGCAATGTTATGTTATATTTAGGTCTAAATTGCCTTTGAATTGGGATTAATGTCTCTGAAACTATGCAAGGCAGAAGCTGTGCAAATTCTCCTGCCCCAGAAGCAGTAATTCATCTCCCCGAGCTGCTAGCTCAGCCTGCAGGCAGTGTACCGGGCAGCGTCTCAGCTGCTGAGACTCCCAGCCGGCGTTTGGCCTGAACTAACCCTGCCAGCACCATCACGCAGCGTGAGAGCTTCGCAGGGTGCTGCCTGTCCCAGAGTGACTTGATTGAGGACAGTAATTTCCTTTCACTCATGCCCTGCGTGAGCTCCACTGCCGCTTTGCAAAAACCTGGCTTTTTCTCTGGGTTCAGCAGGTCAGAGACAAAAACCCCTCGGGACTCCTCGGTGGAAGATGTCCCATCAACTACAAAGTGAAGGACAGCATATGCCGCCTGTCTCGTTGTGGGTGCAGGAAGCCCAGCTCTCGGGGAGCTGGCACATAGGTTCTGTTTGAGCGAATTATTTCCTTTACTGGAGCAGAGGATCTCGTTATCGGGGCAGCAGTTTGTTGAGTGCCTTCTTGAGCCATTGCAGCACTGGTTGGTGGGAGTACACGTTCTCCATCCGCTTTGCTCCTCTTCTTTTTTTTTGGGTCTAGCCTGGGATTTGGGGCGATAGTTGGCATATTAGTGCTGGTGAGATCATGAAATACCAGGGAGACGGGGCAGGCATAATGAATCTGCTGAGCCAAGATGATGTCATGAGCCTGGCGTCTTACGAGGGATTTAGTGTTTTGTGCCATGCAAGTGAAAATGAATAAATGTAGAGCATTTATCCAGGCAGAAAGTAAATACAGAGATTAGACTTGTCATTGTTACTGAGGCAGCACCAAAAGCTGACAGTGTCCCTGGAGCCAGGGCTGCTCATCCGGAAAGAAACAGGCAGGAAGAGAGAGGAGCCTGTCCCAGGGCCAGTCTCCTTTTAGCCACAGGCATGTGGTAGGGATTTGCATTTTAATTATTTTTCAGTAGTCTTTTAAGCTCTTTCCAAAGCATCTCCCTCTGCTCTTCTGTATTATGGCCTGCAATTTGTTTTGGGCCCCGAGAATACACCCAGAGCACTGCCGGACTCGGAGGGCAACCACTCGAGGATTAAGGTGGTGGAAGGTAAAGTCTAGCCATTGACCTTTACGTTTCCTTTCCTTTGTAGTGGAAAAGCTTTTTTGCCCAGGCTTCTGGCCGGAGGCTGTTCTCAGTTTAGATTTTTAAGCTCACATCTTTCCTAGGTAGAAAAAAAAATACCACTGCTGAACTGGATGCTGCCGCCGCGGCTCAGGTGACAGAGTAAGCTTTGCTTTTTATCACCCGCTCAACTCTCCTGAGAAAATGTAGCCTGAATTCTCCGATTCATGCCTTTTGTTTCCCCTTCTCCTTTTTACATCACAGCGGTGTCACTTTTCAGCCTGGTTTGAGCAAGTTGTGTCTGTGCTTCTTGAGAGCTCTGTAATGCAGCAGCCTTCTGCACCAGATCTCTCAGACAGGCAACCGCCACGGCTTCATTTCAGCGTGGGTTTTTTTGGATGATGTGATTCTTCCTTCGGTCCACTTGGCTACGACACAGATCTCGCTAGTGGTTGAGCTCTACAGGTTTTAAAATAAACTCCTCTCCAGCAGGTTTAGCATTATTGTCCTTTTTTTTTTTTTTTTTGATGGGTGTCAGCTTTGTTTTGGACTTACCCTGATGGCAAATCTTACTAGTACCAGATGTTACAAGACAGAGGGTTGCTCTTGTTTTTCTTGGCACAATATATTCCCACTGCACCCTGTTTAATATTATCTGAACAGTAATCTGATGATTAGGAGAGAGAGTGAAATAAAGCTTTTACGCAGATGATCTCTTTTCATCTCTTCAGCTGACTCTTCGAGGCACTGCATTAAAGGATTGGTTTGATAAGGAATTCATCGCTCCTGAGGGCAATTACCATTTTTGCTCCCTATGTTTCTTGAACGGGAAGGAGTAGCAGTGTAACTTTGAAGACAGTATCCAGCCACTCCTCCCTGGGAGCTGTGTGTTCTGGAACAGACTTGACACAGTAGCTGTTAAATTACAGGGCTGGAGCAAACGGCATCTCAAATTTGGATCCTGTGGAAAATCCCAGAAAAGCAATAAGCACTTGGAGTACTTTTCTTTATCTAGATATTTCCAGCATGCTCACAGCTGTGGTTTCTGTATGCCTCCGCATCCTTTCATCCACTCAAGGGATTTTCAAGCTGCACTTTGTCATTAACAGTACTGAGATATCCAGGCTTTCTCCCTCCCTAGCGAAGGCTGGATACTTGCAAGTAAATACCCTGATGCCCGCTTTCCCTCTGTGAGATGAGCAGCCCGGCTGCTGTTTGTGCAAGAACATGCCTCTCCGTGAAAAAACTGGCTGACGTGTCCCAGGTAGCAATTCCTGCTCTAAGGTGTGGGTGATAAAATAGCGCTGCCTCTGTTCGGGTTCGCCTCTTGACAGAGAGGTGCCTGTGTTAGAAATGCCTTGTGCTGTCACTGCTACGCTACTGCCGATCTAATTACTTTTTCTTTTGTCTGTCTCTTTCCTTTCCCCATCTTCCGTGTTTTTGTGTTGTATGTCTCTGTGTCCTGCAGTACAAATCTGTGTTTAGGTCCTACTCCCAGGACTTTGTGCCTCACAACCAAGTCTCCATACCTCCTTTCCTCTCTTCTACCTCCTCCTCCTGCTCCACCCCACCTTTTCTGCCCGTCCATCCATCCCAGAGCTCTGACCTAGCGGTGCCTGCCGCAGCCAGCCAGTCACCCAGCACTGTGGATGTGCCAAACTCCTCTTCTCAGGAGAGCAGCTTTAACGGGAATGCTCCTGTCTGCCTTCCTTCTGAAACTTCTTTCACTGATTCTCTCCAGACGCCTTCGGTGAGACTATCCAAAGAGATAATGCACCTTAACACAAGGCTGGGTTTATTTGGTTTGTTTTTTTAAAGAAAATGTCTCTTGTATTAATACATGCGTAATGTGATCTGGTTTCCAAACATGCGTGTGAAGTGCAGAGAGGTAATTTCATATAAAAACGCTGGCAAAATTAACAACCTCAGCAGGTGTGAGAAAATGTTAGCACATATGTAGGAAACATAAAATGTCAAATGCTGGGGAAGGGGAGAGGAGAAGGTGCTGTAGCTTCCTGCAATTGTAATACAAAGCTGTGGCAGGTAAAAGGGTGCTTTGCGAGGTTGGTTGTTTCTAAACGCGGGCTCCTAACAGTGGTTTGCATCCTGCAGTGGCTGCCGTGGCAGGATTTGGTGATTGCTGCCCTGCTGCCTCCTAAGTCACTGGCGAGCCCCCGGGAGCGGTGGGTGCACTCCGGCTCTGTCTCTCCTGTGCATAAACCTGTTGCTCTCTCCAGGCTCCTGCTCTTTCCATTTACCAGCAACCCTAGCTGTGCACTTGGTGGCAGTGCACGCTGGTGCAAAGCATCGCGTGTTGGTGAAGTTAGACTAACGCAGTTCCCACACTGATACGGCAGTATCAGTATTTAGGGTCCCAGATGAGTTTTGCAGATCGCTTGGCAGGTTTGTGCATCACAGCTACTTTTTTAAAAACCTCGTCTTCAAGGCAGTTCCTCTTTTGTTTGCTGCAAAGCCTAGCATTGATGGGATTAGAGTTGTCAGCACAGTGCATGGTAGCGCTGCCTCTTCACAAAGTTTGGAAGAGGGACACAGATTGCAGAATAAACGATCAGGTTTTCACGCTTTGGACCTGACCTTGCTGTTGCATCTTCCTTGCGTTACGTCCTTGTTACAGCCCAGAAGCCCTCAAATTTGGTTTAGTTGGGCATGATGGCTCTAGTCTGTGCTTGTAGCATAGTTTGGGAGACACATTTGATACCCTCTGGGCTGCAGGGCTGATCTGTGTTCAGCAGCAGGACTACAGCTTGGGTAGGACAAGCGCTTGTGAGTCAAGCTCTGAATGCTCAGCTTCCGTAACCTTGAAATCTGCACGTGCATATTGCACCTTCACAGTCTCACCTGGAGTCCATGGCAGCTCTTGCAAAGCATTGCCTGCTGCTGTCCTGCTCAGGGCCTTCGGGATAGTCCTCAAGAACCAGAAAATAATTACCTCCAGGAAGGTACAGCCTCGGTGGCCGGTGTTGGCCGCTGAGCGGGAGGAAGGGCTCCCAGTTAGGTGACAGCAGCCGCCAAGAGCGCTTCTCCTCCCAGCCCCTGGGCACATTAACTCACTAATATCAAGTGCTGGCGGGGGGCACCATCACGTATTTCCTTTCATCCTGTCTCTCTTAGAGTGAAAACGCCAGTGAGGAGGCTGGTGAGGGTGAATACGTCAATCTGTATTCCTCTGGCCAGAGCAACGGGGAACTCCCTCGCTCTGAAGGAGTAAGTAACCTGGAGAGGGCTGGACACCGGGAAGGGGCTGCCTGGTGCATGCTGAGTTCACGCTGGGGCTGACGCGCTTGGCACCGGCCTCTTCTGCACACCGTGGAGCTCCTGTGTCCGTCCTGCTGCCCTGGCTCCCTTGCTGGCAGTCCCTCTGCTTGCCCACTCCTGGCTTGCAGGCTTGGGTGGTCTCCAGGTCTGGGTGGAGAGCAGGCGATGCTTTCGGGGTCGCGGTGAGCCCCGGCAGGAGGTAGGGACGGCTTTTCCTGCCACGCTGTTTCATTTGTGCTTCGCTGTCTGTTTGGAGCTGCTTGCGTGAGGTTCCCTTCCAGAAAGCTGCACCCTGACCAGCACCGTCCTGGGGCCGTGTCTATTCTTGTGACTGCTTTGGCTTCCCTTTTTTAATACAGAAAGCCTTGTGCTCTAAATTTTTTTTTTCCTTCACTATTTGGACATGAAGTAAGTGATTGATTTAGCATTGTAATCGCACGCTGTTTCTTCCTTTACTCAAGACTCGTATCTTAGATATTTCCTAGAGGAGACAGGGCGTTTTCCATTGCAGGGAGGTACCGTCTTCCTGTTGGGTCATAGGAAACAGCGGCAGAGGTCTGTGGCGGTCTTTTTGCCTGCCCTCATCTTGGAAGGTACATCTCCTGCAGGATGTCTCTGAGACCTTTATCCATGCTGGTGTTAAATATGCCAAGAGATAGTGCTCCCATCACTTCCCTTCAAGAGACATCTAGGCAGGCCCATCCTTTCGGGCAGCTGCGAGCTGGTTCTCTCAACTTTGAAGCAAAGGGCTTTACAGATATAGTCTGGAAAAATTCTGCAGACACCGAGAAACCTAAACTCACCAGTGCATTTTCCAGGCCGAATAGACAACGTGTAGGTGGTTTCAGTCCAGTCTGTTCAGTAGGTTGAATTTCCAAGTTTCAGTCTGCGTGATATTAAATAATTCTGAACTCCAACACTGTTAGATTAATATTCTCATTTGCTGTTCATGGGTATTCTTCTCCTTAATAAATGGCTAATTTAAAATGCTGTATCTTTGCTTTGAGTTCTCTACCTGCTGTTCCATGCCGCGGGTTCAGATGGTTCTGCTTTTTTGCATTAGCCTCATTTCCACAGCCGTGAATTGTGAAGTGGAAACACTGCATCATTGCGTAACCTCTTCTGGTGGGAGAGAAGGGAGGTAGGAACAGCAGCGTGCAGCCACCCCCTAAGACAGGCTGGTTTTGGGGGCTGTGACTAGGAGGGGAACTGAAACTGGAGAGTTTAGAGCTGGCTGTGTCCGTTTTGATTAAAGCAGAGGGCAAGTGTATTTCAACAGGGCTGGAGGACAAAAAGAAGTCATGAGAGGGTTAAAATCCAAGACAACAGCTGACTTGTGTTGTAACTTTCAGCATCATTTCACAATGTTAAAAGCAAACAGTACTAATTACACTAGTCTCCAGAGATGGTCCCAAATTTCCTGTCTAATTAACTTCGGTGTTTTCCTGGCATTTGGCATTAGCTTGCATCAATCTTTAACCACTCTGTAGGAATTTACAGTAAAGGGCCATTTAGAGGCAGTCAGACTGTAAATGCAAGACTAGCTGTGGTGTAGTACCCCACGTAATAACAAAAACCTTCCTTCTCTTCACAGGAATCTCCCTCCGTCAAAGACGGCCACTCCAAAGACTCCACTTCGAACAGCAGTGCCATGGGGAAGGAAGGCAAAGATGGTGCTGAAAGGTGAGCCTGACTCCCCTGGTACCTCTGCTTCCCAGCCTTGAAGGGTACAGAGTCTCACCAGCATCCCGTTAGCCCTGCCCTCTACCAAACCGTCCTTGGGGCTGCCTGTTCTGCCCTCGACCTTCTTGATGTTCTCTAAACTTTAAGCCCGCTTTTTTTTGCACAACTGGTGAGTGGTGGGATCCTGCTGAACAAGGAGGATCCCGGCGAGATGTCGTTACTTAACTCAGGGACCCTGTAGGGGTTAATGCAGCCTGTGTTAGCCAACCTAAAAGTCCATCTAATTGGCAGTCCTGTCATTGACACTGGCTGCTCCCTCCTGCTTCCAGGGAAACATGCAAAAAAAAGTCTGTATCGCTGTTGGGAAATAGTCTTCCAGAGGGGAATTTCTTCCTAACCCTGCTAGTTAGAGGCTGGCTGAGGCCCCGAAGCAGGAGGCTTTATATCCCTTCTAATGCTCTTAGCTATCATTTGTCTATGTAAATGAAGAGGTGCAGGCTGTAACAGATGGGCTTCAGGAGGAGCGGAGTGAGTGCTTCCCTGCTGCTTGAGATTGCTCTTCAATTGCATTTCTAAAGCAAAAATACAGAACGGCATTGTTTTGTGTGTGACAGTCAACTTCCCTCCCCCATTTTCCTGCAGTTGGTTTGAGGGTTTTAATCCCTGCAGTGAAGGAGACAATGCAAAAATGCTCTGCAAAGCTCACTATCTGCTGAAAATACACTGGTGCATGGGATTTTGGCCTGCGCTGGGGAAAGCTACAAAGAACGTGTGCTTTTTTTTTTTAGGAATACAGGCACAGAGAGCATGTGTCCAGGCAGAAGAGTACCAGCCTTTCGGGGTAGGAATACTAGAGTTGTGGATGTACACCAAAAAAGTGGTCAGAGCTTTCTGCTCTATCTTCCTGCAAAAAGAGAGCCTGTCATCTCCCCTTGTAGCAGCACAATGGGTCATGAGCTGACTAAGATATATGCGTGTAGAGCATGCTCAGTCTCTATACATTTAAGGAAGGGCTTAGATTTGTGTGCACTAAAAATTTGGTGGATTAAGGAGAGATGGAAGTGTGTACTTATGCAGGGCATAGTAAAATCCTGTCTGCCAGAAATGCAGGCAGACAAGTGTTCAGGTCCTAAAGGTTCATCTTTCTCTTTTTCAAGAGATGCACAAAGCAACAGAATTAGAGCTAGACGTTTGGATTTGTTTGTAAAAGATTTACCTCCAGACTGTCTGTGTACTTACTGTATTTTAATGAAGGTTTGTACACTGAGAGCTCAGGTGGACCCAGCATCTCTTCCCCTGGATGGGCAATGACATTGATGGGTATTTGCCTCTTTTTTTACAGGCAGCAGCAGTCACCAGATGCTTTGGAATCGTCACAGTTGGAGGAAGAGGTAGATGAGCTATCCCTTATCGACCACAGTGAAATTATGGCTAGGTTAACGCTGAAGCAAGAGGTAGGTGCATTCAGGGTTTGCTTTCATACTCTTTGGTTTATGCTGTGTTGAAATCTGATTCTCTGTGTGCACAAGCAAGGCATCAGCTTTTATTTGATAGGAAAAACTAGGTTGCAGCAGAAGTGGTATGCAGCTTTATGTGTGCAGGCTGTTGTGAAAGTATGAGATGCTGGTACAGGCAGGGAGCATCGGCAATGAATGAGGGTTTAACAAAATGTGAGATGTCTCTCTAAAAAGAAGCGTCTCTTGTGCCCTTTTCCCAGTCTGCTCCTTCCCACCTCTTCAGCCTGCGACAGTCTGAAATGAAGCACCTGAGACCCTGAGCACAATAAATCCAGGTGTGGGTTTATGGTGTTGACCTTCCAGTCTGACGGCAGGTTTAGCAGATTTCCCAAGCAGGACGTTATGTTACAGATGTGGAAGAGCAGCCAAAGTAACTGTTTCTGTATTTGAGAAATGGCTTTGTTTCTAGCCTTAGGTGCACGCCCAGACAGCTTTGCTCACTATGCTCTTGAACCAAGCTGTCTTTGACATGCAGCTTGAGGGAATATGCTTTTGAAAGCTTTTGAAGCTTTCAGACTGTCAGGGGGCTAGCCTGAAAAACCAAGAGAATGTAGCATTTACTGGCACTTAAGGAGTGTTCTTTGGTCAGCTGAGATGTGCAGGAGAGAGTGAGAAGCTATTACTCATTCCTTAAGTAGTATTTCATGAGTCTTGCCAGAGGGTCACCTGAAAAATTCACATCTTAGACATAGCTGCTTCATGGCTGTAATCCATGGTTTTTTCAGTGTTTTGCATATTGAAATGACAAAGACATTACCAAGGGAAGCCAGGCACGACTCCAGTCTCCTCTGCAGGAATATTTCCTTTAAAAAATTAAAAATCAGTGGTGTCTGAATATTTGGGACTAGCAGATATGTGTCAACCCTTAACTTCTTCTTTTTCTGTCTTTTCTTTATGGCCTACATGTTTGAAACGGTATAGACCTGCCACTGCAAGCCATTTCCTGCAGCGTGGGAACCGCTGGCTGAGTGATAGATCAGTTTTGCATATTTTTAATTGTGAATTGCAGTAGCTAGAAGAAAGATGTTTTTAGAGAGTGGTAAGGCAGGGGTCAAGCAGTTAGCAGGGCTGTTTTCTGCTCCCGGTTATTGGATCGCTTCAGTTGACCTCCAGCCAACTAGTTCCAGATTAGGGAATTAACTTGCTAGGTTTTCATGTTCCAGGAGCATGCAAGTTGAATGCATGACCTCTCACCCCACAGCCGCTGTGGTACATGATCCCACTCTTTGAGACAGTTCACACAGTGTTACTGCTCTGTTAATGGTCTTCTGGGAGCGTTTGGGAGTCTGGGACATTTCTGTTCATTCTTCTGTGGACAGAAGGTTCAGCTTTCACTGAGCTTCGCAGCCTGGCCTTAAGGAGTCAGAGACCCCAAGTGAGGATCAGCCCAGATCCTCATCTGGGACACCAAATGCTTTATTCAAATTCCAGGATTAGCCCAGCGCTGAAGACCCATGTCCCAGCTTGCGCTGCGAGCAGTGCCAGGAACATTGCGTACTCTGCCAGTTGTTGCCAAGTTTGAACCCCAGAGATGATAAACCAGGCCGAAGGGAGCTTGGACCAAGCCTAACGTGTTTCTGTTCTCATTGCAGGGAGATGATGGGCCAGATGTTCGTGGTGGATCGGGAGACATTTTGTTAGTGCATGCAACAGAGACCGACAGGAAAGGTACAGTGGATCCACCAAAACAGAGCTGAGGAGCGCAGCCTGGCATGGCCTTTTGCTGCTTGTCTTCTGCGTCTCTGTAGCGTGCACAGTCGCAGTGTGACTTCCCAGTCAAGCAGCTGGGCCAGGGTGGAGAGGACTGCGTTCGTGATCCTCAGAGTTGCGGGGGGGATTGTGCTTATCTTTGGTGAAACGGAGGTAAGCTGGCTAAGAACCTGTTTGTTCCATTTAGCAGCAGGGATGGTTTTAACTCCTCATAGCCCTTGCCCAGATCTGGAAGGTGAGGAGCACCAGTGGTGTTGGTGACAGTGCTGTGTTGGTGTCTCCATGCCTGCCTTCTCCAAGTGCAGGTGTGACTGATCCTGTTTTCAGAGGTGCTCCTTGCCCTTTGAACTTCAGGGCAGTGGTAATGTAGGAGTTGCTGGAGTGACTGTTGCGTCGAAGTAGGAGAGGAGGGACATTGTTTTGGGTCTAACGCAGTACCCATGGGCATTGGGCAAGCTGTTCAGGTGCTGGTCTGCTGACACCCCTTATTTTCAACTTACCATCTCACTTCCTAGTCCCACTCTGTTCTGCTTGCATGCTGGTAGCCACCCAGACCGATTCAGAGAGGGAATCCACAGTACAAGAAGGGAGATGTGGGGAAGGAGAAGGGGCGTTAGCAACCCTTGCTATAGATTTGTTAAAACCTCACTTTATCTCTCCAAACCCAGTCACCACCCACAGGAAGCAGCTCCTTTCCAAGACCTGTGGCAAAGACAGCCTTTGCAATGTTTCCAGAGAGTGATTTTGAACCTGCCAAACGCATTTGTGCTGACGGCCTTAACCAGAATTGATCTCCTCATCTCCTGAGATGCAAGGCAAAACGCACTAACCCGCTGAACCACTCAGCGCTCATATTTTAGAGGTTTGATAGTCAAAGGGGAAATATCTCTCATGTGCATTTTTAAATGGCAGGGTTTTTACTGTAGCATAAGGTGTTTGCAATTACTTACCAGCACCATTCAGCTAGCAAGAAAATCCTTCCCCTGACAGCTATGTTTCCCTGTTTACATCGGGCATTGAATCCAGGCAGAAAGGACCAAAGTTAGGAACATACTAGAGAGGAGGAGGCAATTGGTTGCGCCGAGGCTAGATATGTATATTTTTCTAAAAATAGTCTAAATGAAATGGTGGAAATACCCCTTATAAAAATGCTGAAACTGGAATAGAGAAGCTCTGATGTACTCCTGCTGTTCTCCGGAACACGCATCACATTGGAAGAACTTCGCTACTGTTCCTGTTGAAAGACAGCTAGTTGGTAAAGGGATGTGTGCTCGACCTCCAGTTCATGAATGGGGAGCTCTGAGGGTGCTGCAGGCAGTGAGGTGAAAGCTGTGGAGAACCTCTCAAGACTAGGAAAAACTAGAGCAGGATTTTAAATGCACAGAGGTGCGGACGGGGAGAGCGGCTGGGTGGAGGGAGCTCTGCGCGGCACGTTTCTCAGAATAGTCACAGAGCTTAGCCTCGCAGGCTCTGCCAAGCCCCTGAGCTGAATGGAGCGCGGAGGAATTTGTACTATGCTAACCCAGTGTTTGGGTGACTGAGAGGGTTAATGAATTAAGCTTACAATGAGAAGAATTCAGGGCTTGTAAATCAATCAGCCAAACGGCACAGAGGGGTATAGTTAAGAGGCTTTCCTTTAAAGATGAATTTCTTGGCAGCTTCAAGTGCCAGAGGAGACCAGCTGTATTACCTCACGTTGCCTTTTGGGCAGATGGGAACCCAGAATAAATGTAACTCCACGCCCTGTTGCATGATGCTTCTTGTCCATTTGAGTTTTCTAAAGGAGCTAAATGGAATAAGGGATAAAGAGAGACTTGAGGTCTTTAGGAATAAAATCCACGGTCCGTGTGGCTCACAGCCACACGCTCTTGCTGTGAGTGCAGGATTACAGCTGGACAAGGCCTAGGGCTCACCCCTGACATGACCACCCAGCCTCCGGCTTTAGAGCTTATATCAGATTGTCTTTAACCAAAAGGCAGCAGCGCTCTCTGATTTAAGAGCAGGAGGAAGCGGCATCTCTGTCAGGCTCCTGCCAAGAGAAACGCCGCAGGTAGAGAGGCACAACTAACACACCGTGCCCTGCTCTTTCCCACCCTCCACGCACAACGGATGGATGTTACAGCACATGGGTGTGGGGTGATCCCTGTCCTGGCTGAAACAAGCTTTACATGTACAGCCTAGCCTGGGCAGGCAGGGCAGAAGCTTTTTCTCCCCGTCTGCGCTGACAAAGCTCTGCCAGCGGTTGCAGTGGGCCGGGCAGGGGCAGTGTGCCATCCCACTGCACAGGCTGCCTGCAGTGCTGTGTGGTTTTATACCGGGGCTTATAAGTTTCCATTTTGACCGCTGCTGTCCACAGTGACCAAGCCTTGCCTGGGACTGCGAGTGTACTGCAGCCTTGACCTGAAATCTTCTTTCCCATTTGCGGTTCCTGTTTTTTTCCAATTCCCTCCTTTGTGCCCATGATGATGGCCAAAGTCTTTGCAATTCTGGGGCCTGTAGCACCCACTGCTGCAGAATAATAAACAAAAGCTGTCTGCGTGCACCGGGTCAGAGTCTGTGTTGTGGCAGGGTCATGGTCATGGTAGCATCAGTTTTTGCAGTGCAATTTACTCTTCTTTTGGCTGAAAATAATCTTATATTTACACTGTCCTGGGGCAGATTTCCTGGAACGTAGCAAGGGCAGAGCATCTGCAGCACCGTATCATCACGTTGAAACATGTCTGTTCCTGATCAGGGGGAAGAGTGACCAAGTCTTTCTGTAGGGCTCTGTGCTGCCTAAGCAGTAAAGACAGAGAACAGGCACCCACTTCTCACCATCAGATCTTCTCTTTAAAGTATCCCCGAGGTCTAAACCACGTTTTTCCTTGACCCATTATTGAAAGTTCCTGTCCCACAAACAGGTGTTTTTCACTGACCCCTTTGGTGGTCGCATAAGCGAAGCAGCAAGCCCGAGTGCTGCAAACGGGAGCCAGGCCAGTGGGGACAGGGCAGTTTCACTGTGGCTCTTGTGCCGTAGGGTCCATCTGCTGGTAACAAAGAACAGCACAGCATTTAAGTCCATTCGTGTCAAAACGTGTCCATGTCCTCTTCCTGTAAGACTGGATTCAACCTTACAAGAAGCTTCCTTTTTCTGAAAGCAGGGTTGACTGAGGCTTTCTTGTCTTTCTCTGTAGATCTGGTGCTGTACTGTGAAGCCTTTCTGACTACATACAGGACATTTATTACCCCTGAAGAGCTCATCAAGAAGCTGCAGTACAGATATCCTTTTGCATGAGTGGCGGTTCACGCCCACCAGGAATCAGAGCCGAGCAGTCATCGTGGAGGGAGTTGGTGGCAAGTTGTTTGGTCAAAAGCCTGCTGACAGCGTGGTCAGTAATGTGCTTGCCCTGGAGGTGTCCCACGCAGGACTCTCTTCACCTCTGCACACTGCAAACGGGAAATGCTGCTGGGCAGGTCCAGGCAGGGTGGAGTACCGGACCTGAGAGTAGTCTCCTGAAGGCCCTGGCAGGGGAGAAGAGCAGTTCAGATTTTCTGTACATCGTTGAGGAATTGGTCATTTGTTTGGGACATCTCGTTTGTAGAATGGGGATCACGCCGCCTTCTGCCTTCCCGAGGGGCCATGGGGATTGCCTGCTTTGGCAGGTGTAGTTTAATACTAGAGATGACTAAACCATCAAGCCCTATTCTATCCCTTATTACAAGAAATGCAGCACAGAAGAGAATGTCCTCTTGGCCTCCCAGTTTCAAACTGAGCTTGTAACTGCTAACGAGGCGAGGGCCCTTATGTGGCAGGGTGAGCATTAGCATTTCTGGCAGAGTATGGAGAAGGCTTCTTGTTGAGCACACTGCCTGCAGTTCCTTCCCCTTGGCTCTGTTCCCGTGGCTCCTTTCGCTGTCAGCTGAGCGGGTCAGTATCTCAGTTCAGGCAGTGCAAAGGCCTCGTGGGCTTTAGTCCTGTACACACACGTCAAAGGGAGCCTGACGTCACCCTGTCCTGCGTCGCAGCTCATCACTGCCATCTGCAGCAGAGCCGCTGCTCCCCTTGCTCCTGCTGGGATCAGCGCGGCCAAGGACACAGCAAATCTCACTGCAGAGTGGTTGTCAGTGAAAATACTGGCTGGGGCATTCCTGCAGGCCCTTGTCAATACTTGACTTACTGATAACCTTTTTCTTTTTCTCTTTGTCCACCTGGCAGAAGCTTTTTCAACCTGTGCTGTCTCCCCTGCCGCCATTCTCCTTGCAGCAAATTGGGCAGTGAGGAAGGTAGAGGTGGCATCTGAGATCTGTTGAGACCAGATGTCACAGACCAGTGGGGGAGATCACAGTAGAGGAGCGCTGCTCATTAAATTCCACCTTAGAGAGAACAGTTTCAGGGTACACCTGCTCTTCTAGCATCAGTTCTGCGAGGTGTAAGTACCTCCTCACACCCCTGCTACCTGCAGCTGGTGGCAGCTTAATACCATGTTAATTAGAGCCGTATCGGTGTCCCTTATCTCCTGGAAACTGAACACCAGTTTCAGTCAAGACAGAATAGTAGCTATTCTAATGTTCCTCAAGGCAGCTGTTAGTCGTACTGACCACACTAAGTTGATTCTTTAACCTGCAACCACATATGAAAAGTTTTGCCACTTCCCTGACACGTTTAAGAAGCGAGTCAGTAAGAACACCTTCTTCGTGCTGGTGAGAGTGGTGGATGAGCTGTGGTGAGTTGCCGCCTTCGTTTCGGGATGGGAGATGCAGGGTCAGTAACAATACAGAACTCTGGCAGTTTTGAAGATGTGTCGTTTAATCCTCATCTATGACAGCTGAAATCCCTTACCCTGACCAGTGAGACACCTATAGTGCTGAACCCTCTTGTTCAGCAGGTTCCTGGTGTGTCCTATCTCTGTCAGTGATTTTAAAATAACTAGTAAAAGGGGAATCTGTAAGAAAGGAAGAGCTGGGAAGGGGAGGAATTTCAGTCACTTGGTTCTGCTCGTGGGAAGGAGCAACAAGACTCAGTACAGATACAAACTCTCTAGCTCAGGGTCATAGCTCTGATGCCTTCCCTGGGTTTTTCCATCTTTCTCTCAGCTTAGTGGAGTTGACAGAGGAAATTCTGAAGCTGCTGATGGACCTGGTCTTCCGACTGGTCTGCAATGGGGAGCTGAGCCTCGCCAGAGTGTTACGCAAGAATATCCTTGATAAAGTGGATCAGAAGAAAATGCTGAGCTACGCCAATTCCATCAAACCTCTTGCAGCCCGTGGGGTGGCAGCCAGGTGAGGAAAGATGCACGTAACCATATCTTGGTCCTTTGAGAGACAGGACATCCCTTTCTTGTGGACACAAGAGTTTTCTCAGTCCAAACTATAAGAAAGAGAAGAAAACAGGCCACGTTTTCTGAGCTTTTATACTTCATCCTTGTTTCCTGCAGGCCAGGGACGCTGCATGATTTCCACAGTCATGAAATAGCCGAGCAACTGACCCTCCTAGATGCCGAACTCTTCTATAAAATTGAGGTATGGAGATGAGGATGGCGTAAGGGCGGTGGGAGGGATTCGAACATGGACCCCCTGCAATCTCTGGTATTCCCTGCCAAGCTCTCCAAGCACAACTGTTGCGTTGTAGGAGACAGCTGAACTTGTGTCAGCAAGTGGCTGTGAACACAGACTGCGACTGGGAATCTTGAGGCAGAAATCCCATTTTAATGTGTGGTATTTTCCCACCCCTCTCCTCTTCTTCCTCGGCAGATCCCAGAAGTTTTGCTTTGGGCAAAGGAGCAAAATGAAGAGAAGAGCCCCAACCTGACACAGTTCACAGAGCACTTTAATAACATGTCCTACTGGTAAGGAGCTCAGAACAACCGTGGCACTGAACCGTGCTTAACCTCCAGTGCCATACAAATACTCAAAATATTCCTTGCAGAGCTGGGTTCCCTTGTTACAGCTGGGATAACATATACTTTTTGGCCAGGAAGTAGATGCAGGGCACTCATCAAAGACCCCGGAGCACACGAGGAAGAAAATCAGGAGGGTTGTGGAGGGCACCGTAACCCAGAGGAATTATTGTCAGTACCATTGAGCCCTTCAAACAAACATTCCCCTTGCAAATACGTGCACTCTGTGAAGGGTTCTTGTGGTCATCCTTGAAATTATTCTGTCTTTGTTGTGAATGAGAGTGCTCCGTTTAAGTTGGAGGTATCATGAACTTTTTAGTATTGTTGGCCCATCCCTATCAGTTATCAGGTTTTTAAAATGAAACAAAGAAATCTGAGATCTGCTTAAGCGGGTTGGTTTTTTTTCTGTCTGTTCTTTCAGGGTCCGTTCAATAATTATGCTACAAGAGAAAGCCCAAGACCGAGAGAGGCTGCTCCTTAAATTTATAAAGATTATGAAGGTATCAGCTTGGTTCTTGCTGTGAATCACACACACTGCTCCTTAAAGGAGCAGGGGAGTGGGACCTTCTGGTTGGTAGAGCTGTTTGATGTTAGAAGGCTTTTCAGATCACTAGAGTAACTGGAATATTCTCCCTCCTCACAGCACTTACGAAAGCTGAATAATTTTAATTCCTATCTGGCCATTCTTTCTGCACTGGATTCTGCACCCATCCGAAGGCTGGAGTGGCAGAAACAAACCTCAGAGGTGAGGAGCGGTGAAGGCTGTCATCTTCAGGGGAAAAAGATAACTGTGGTTACGGTATGAAACAGCTGGGTGGTTTTAACGGCTCAGCAACATCCCAGGGTGGAGGGATGGCGGATTACTGCTCTCCAGTGGGTATAACGCCACGGCGCTGGAAGCCGGCGGCGTGGCTGGGCATTCTGACAGCTGCAGGAGTGCCAACACAGTCACGGGCGAGAACAGCCTCCGCCTCCTCCTCCCTGCAAATTGCAGGCTTGGTGAGGCTGAAGGCAGCGAGGCTCTGTGTATACGCACTCGGGGTCAGGCTGAGTAAATCAGTTGGAGGTGTTTGCAGGGTGACATTAACTCCCTGGCCTGCATGGCACTCGGGGGAGAGGTTACAAAGAAAAGGGGTTTGCAGCAGTGGTGCCACTGTGGGCTTTGTGTTCTGCCAGGGCCTGGCTGAGTACTGCACACTGATTGACAGCTCCTCGTCCTTCCGCGCCTACCGAGCAGCTCTGGCTGATGTGGAGCCTCCCTGCATACCTTACCTGTGAGTTGGTAGTTTCTTTCCTCTGCCATTACTTCTGCACGTTACAATGGTTCCTTCAAGGATTTCTCAGCAGCTTCTGCTCAGCTCAGCACTTGCCTTTTGCCCTACATCTAGAATAAGACAGCAATGTGCCACATCAACCCGTGTGCCCTCTCTGGAGCAATTTGTCCTGTAGCATAGGAAGGCAGGGTGGCAGCTATCTTTTTGTAAAGAAGGCTTTGGAAAGATCAAGTGCCTGGATCTTTAGTTGACGCTTTTTAACTATATTTTCTTTGGGGTCTGTGCACAGAAAGACAAATTTTCCCATGAGGTGCAATGGATCCCACAGCTTCAAGCTGCTGCTTGCTCCTCTGCGACAGCTCTGGTTCTGCTGACTGCAAGAGCTGGTAAATGAGGAGTCTGCCTTGTTGAACATGCTGCTGATGAAAGGTTGAAGCCATTGCCCTTCCTCCATAAGGGCCTTCTGGTCTAGATACCCAGATCTGGGTTTGCACCAGTAAAACTTCTCCTGGTCTTGCTTTCTTCCATGGAAAGAGTTCTGTAGGAAGGGGTTGCAGAGGTACATGGCAGCTCATCTGGCAGGGGACCACAGCAGGACTGTGCAGAGACATGGCTGAGTAGGGGAGTCGGAGGGAGGAAGGGAGCGCAGACCCTCTTGCTAGCAAAACCTCAACGTGAGGGAAACCCTCTTGCATAAAACTGGAACTCCTGGTCTTGCTTTCTTCCATGGAAAGAGTTCTGTAGGAAGGGGTTGCAGAGGTACATGGCAGCTCATCTGGCAGGGGACCACAGCAGGACTGTGCAGAGACATGGCTGAGTAGGGGAGTCGGATGGGGGGGGGGAGGGGAGCGCCTCTTGCTAGCAAAACCTCAACGTGAGGGAAACCCTCCTGCATAAAACTGGAAGGTTTAACCCCTGGCAGGCACTTCCCAGTGCGACCTTCTTCCAGCCTGGTCCTCCTTTCCATGGAGGGTGAAAGAGCAACCTCAGCGCCCTTAGTGTGAGCATGAGTGCCTCGCCTCAGAGGTCCCTCAGCTGTGCATGGTGGGCGCCTTGGGATCTGCTGCTGGGGGAACATTTCCCTCTAGTTGCCACGCTGATGGTGGCAGCAGCGGGAGGCTGTTAGATTGCGTCTGGCTGCCTTTTGGCTGGCCGTCCTGCCCCTGTGTGACTAACCTCTGTACTTGTTTGCCTACTCCCTGGCCTACTGCCCCTTTCTTTCTTTCAGAGGCCTGATTCTGCAGGACCTGACCTTTGTTCATCTGGGAAACCCTGATTACATTGACAGCAAAGTGAACTTTTCCAAGCGCTGGCAGCAGTTTAACATCCTGGACAGCATGAGGTGCTTCCAACAAGTGTAAGTGCAGCAACGGGGCGGGGGGGGTCAGAGCTGGCTTCGAGGCACCACGGTGGGGATTGGTGTGGGGGGTCGTGGCTGGGGCACGGGAGCCCCCGTGGAAGGGGAAGGGAGTCTAAGGTCAAAGCATCGTGATGGAGATGTAAGGAGACCTGGGAACGACAGGACTCCTTCCCTCTCTAGGTTAGATATGACTAAAAGTTGTGAAGACATTTTTTCCTATGTTATTTTTGAGATCCAGTGCAGTAAAGTTTTGCCACTACTCTCTCTCTTTGACTCAACAGTTTTTCCTCCGGCTTTTGCTGTTGCTGGTTCATGGGTTCTCTAGGTCATGGAGGGTTTCCTGAATACTGTCTTGCAGCAGAGGCACCAGATCTAACTGCTGATTTCAGTGTGATAGGGTCTTTTTTTTTTACCCAGTTCAGCAATGGGCATGATGGTTTTTCCCCTTTCTGGTGTCACGCCACTGTCACGAGTATTGGGCACAGACCACAGTGCTGGATGTCCTTAGGGCAGGGTGGGGGTGGCTCGAATTTGGGAGAGGTCCCCAGGTAGCCCCTTGCTTAACCGCAGCCCTCTTCTGTGGTCTTCCAGACATTACGACATCAAAAGAAACGACGACATAGTGTCATTCTTCAATGATTTCAGCGACCACCTGGCTGAGGAGGCCTTGTGGGAACTGTCCCTCAAAATCAAACCTCGGAACATTACGAGGCGGAAAACAGACCGAGAAGAGAAAACCTAGGAGGAGGGGTTGTGCGAGCGAGAATTGCTCCGCAGACGCACCGAGGGCAGCTATGAGACTGGAGTTCAATGTTTGTACCTGTTACTGGATGACGCACCCTCCCTCCCAGCTGGCTGCGATCCCTGGGTGTGTGAATGTCGGGCTCTCGCAGCAGGCGAGAAGCGACCGCGCGCGTCCGCCGCGAAGGGCAGAGATCAGCCGGTGCTCGCTGCGCTCGCCCTCCTTCTCCTCCCGTCCCTCCGTGCCATAGAATCAGCTTTAAACCCGGGGAGAGAGCTTTGTGGAAGGAGGGTCCCATGCAAGCGTGTTACTGGTTTGCTGGCCGATTGCATCCGGGAATGCCGGGGCTTTTGTTTTCATCCACGAAGGAGAGTCAGCAAGAGCTCAGCACCCACAAACTTGTCTCCGGAGTGGTGTTCAGCAGGCAGCAGCCGTGGAAGCCAAGGGTTTCGGTCTCCCCTGCAATGCCACCTCGAAACGTGTTCATCCCTAGGAGATGAGGGTGAAAGAGTCTCCCGCTGCCTGCCGGAGGAGCTCTGCTTTCAGAGAGCTGCTTGTGTTTACAGGGGTCTTCGGTTTACCCCAGATCTCTCGCGCCTTCTTCATGGGAGGAAGGCACCGGTCGTAGATACGGAAGAGGCACTGAAAATGTGGGCAGGGACCCGCCATCTCCAGTCATCGTATCCCCCCTCCTCCTCTCAGATCTCGTTATTTAAGCAACGGTAATCCCTCCAAACCCTGGAAACATTTGACTACCCGAGGTACTGCGGTTCGCTTGTCCTGTGAACCCGTATCTTTTAGTGATGGTACTAGCTTTTGCACAGTAAATGCTGTAGTATACGAGACTGTAAATATTAGCGTTTAGAATCCATTGGGGATTTTTTTGATGCATGTCTGAATACCGATGGGTTTATAGGAAAACAAGAAAAGTGCAAAACAGTATGTATAAAATTCACAACCAGTGACAATGTTGTTCCAAGTGCTGGAAGAAAGGAGGCTCGGGGCGGCCGCGTGGGCGCTGGTGGCGGAGCAGGGGCAGGAGCCAGGCGAAGGAGCCAGCGGGTCCGTTCCTGGGGTTGGAAATGGGAACCGGGAAGGAGCCCTGTGCCCGGCCGAGCCGCCCCGTCCCCTCCACCCCACTCCTCTCTCCTCTCACTGTTGCCAAATGTTTGTTTTGGGGGGTCTTCTCCGTCTGGCTGACCCTTGGTGCTGTGCTTTGTGATCTGCGCTTTGGCAGGAGCCCCAGCAAGTCCCCGTCCCCAGTCCCGTCGTGCCGGAGCCAGCCAGGCAGGGGCAGCCCGGCATAGAAGAGCGAGGAGCGGGGGGTGTCTCATTTCCCACACATGCAGCGTTAACCCCAATCTGTTCGGTGTGCCTTATTCAGCCCCTCTGTCCCCTCTCTGTGTCCCCCCCCCGGGGCGTCCTCACCAGTGCAGCCCCCAGCCGGGCCATTTCACATCCCTCCTCTCTGTCCTCATCCGATGGTTTATGGTGTGGATCGTGGGTTTGAGCATATGCTGTAGGTTTTAGCAGCCTCGCGAGGCCTTTCTCAGCACTGTGTTGCGTGGGCCAAGGTTTTTAGAGTTCTGTCTAACAAAATCCTGCGGTTTAGGGGCAGTGGCTCGCAAGGAATACAGACGGGGTGTTTCGCAGAGCATCCTTAACTTACTTCTCAATAGCAGCTCCGTGTTTGCTAAAGCCTCTGTTTATTCTGGGTGAATCAGAGTTGCAAGCACTTCCTTCTACAGATTGCAAAGTCTTAGCCAGCTCCCTGCAGACGGCAGCTCTGCCTCACGCGTGGCAGGAGGGAGTGACAGCAGCGTTGCCCCATTCGTAAGATTGTACCCAGCTCGATTATTTTCCTGAAGATTTAGGCACAGGACTCGCGCAGCGGCCAAATGCTGAAGTGCAGAGAGGCCCCCCCTGGCCCATGAGGGCATCTTCTGGGGGAGGAGAGCGTGGGGTCCAACACCAGTTCGTGCTGTGCAACCCCAGAGCGGGAGGAGCAGGGATCTTCTTTGCGCTGAAACATGGCATCTGAGCCAGAATAGTTCAAAACCTGTTTATTTTTATGGCCCTAAGATCATTGGAGCCGTGTGTCATGTCCAGCCGAGGCTTTGCAATCCCCAAAAGCTTCCCAGCCTTCCACGCAGGAAGTAATGCTTGGGTTTTCCTTTGTAAATAAGATTTTAAAAAAACCCCTGACGTGGCAAGACTGTGAAAAGGCAAATACACCCCGTGTCTGGCGCAGGCTTCCCCCCCGGCAGGCTCCAAGCACCTCCCTCGGACGGTGTGCTGTGGCATAGGCTGTTTCTAGAAGTGTCGCGTGTGGTGGTAGCACTAAAACCGCAGCTCATCGCTCTGCTTCCCCCGTGCAGGGGCCGTGGGGGTGCAGTGTTCGTGGCTGGGGCTGGATGCCGCGGAGGGACAGGAGGGTGCACCTTGTCTTCAGCCCTGCCGGGATGCTCACCTCCTCTCTCGCTGGCGAGCGGGAGCTGTTGCCAGGTTCTTCCCTGAGCTTGAAACCACAAGCCCTCTTAGCGCCAAAGGGGGGGGGGTCTCGCTCCCCGCCCTCCACCAGCCCCCCCCCGAAATCCTGAGGCTCAGCCCACGGCATGGGGACGGGAGGTCTGCGTGGCCGCAGCACCTCGTCCAGCTTTCCTCCCCTGGCCTTTGCTCTGCAGCCGTCCCCAGCCGAGCAGGGTGTCCCGACCACGGCTCCTGGCTCGTGTCCCGACCTCGGGCCGGGCTCGCAGGGCTGAAGGGACCCTAAAGAAGGGTCTCCTCACCCAGAGCAGCTTCAGGTTTGCTGACCAGAGACCCCCCCCCCACCCCCGGGAGCAGCACCCCTGGGGAGCAGAAGCCCAGAACAGCAGTCGTTTGCAAGACTGGCCATGAGCCAGTG